TTATTGTTAGCATTAGCATTACGGTTATTGTTTTTACACAAATTTACACTAAAAAATACCTGTTAATAGAAAGATATTTAAAATTAAACGAATAAAAAATATTACGTTTTTTTACATATTCACAAAACAATGTGTTTATTTGTTTGTATTTTGCGACATGAAAAATGGCGTGTGAATATTGTGCATTACGCTTAATTTGTTTACAACATTTTTTTTTTAGATAAATTATTTTTTTGTCTTTCTCCTTTTATGACTTTTTTTAAGCAAATTTAAACAACAGCAAAACGACCAAGTTAAAAACAGTAGCGACTAATAACAATATTAACAGCAGAAATAAACAACAAAATTCATAATTTATGTCTGTTTCATATGTAGTGCAGGGTTGCCAAGTGTTTTTGCTGTTCTACTTATACTAATAAGAGTAATTTTATGGAACTAAACGTAGTAAATACATTTTTAGCTTTTTCGCACATATTTAAAAAGGAGTTTTAGAAAATATTAAGTAAACTGGAATAGATTATGGACTAGACTATAGACTGGAATATAGAATATATTATACACTAGACTATAGAGTAGAATATATTCTACATTCTAGACTATACTACAGACTGGATTATAGACTAGACTATAGACTAGCACATAGACTACACTATAGACTAGACTATAGGCTGGACTATAGACTAGACTTGACTATAGACTAGAGGATAGAATAGACTATACTATAGACTAGGCTATAGACTAGACTATAGACTAGACTATAGACTAGACTAGACTATAGAATAGACTATAGACTAGACTAGACTATAGAATAGAGTATAGACTAGACTATAGACTAGACTATAGACTAGACTATAGACTAGACTATAGACTAGACTAGACTAGACTAGACTAGACTATAGACTAGACTATAGACTAGACTAAACTAGACTATAGACTAGACTAGACTATAGACTAGACTAGACTATAGACTAGACTATAGACTAGACTATAGACTAGACTATAGACAAGACTATAGACTAGACTATAGACTAGACTATATACTAGACTATAGACTAGACTATAGACTAGACTATAGACTAGACTATAGACTAGACTATAGACTAGACTATAGACTAGACTATAGACTAGACTATAGACTAGACTATAGACTAGACTATAGACTAGACTATAGACTAGACTATAGACTAGACTATAGACTAGACTAGACTATAGACTAGACTATAGACTAGACTATAGACTAGACTATAGACTAGACTATAGACTAGACTATAGACTAGACTATAGACTAGACTATAGACTAGACTATAGACTAGACTATAGACTAGACTATAGACTAGACTATAGACTAGACTATAGACTAGACTATAGACTAGACTATAGACTAGACTATAGACTAGACTATAGACTAGACTATAGACTAGACTATAGACTAGACTATAGACTAGACTATAGACTAGACTATAGATGTAAAAGCCAGTATATTGCAAAATTTTTTTACAGTAAAGTAAGAGTCTTCCTTTTTATGAACAAAGTTTTAATATACATAGCTTACATACCTATAGTAAATATGTATAATACATATGTACATACATATGTATGTACATGTATTTAAAAATTTGTATTTAACACATAAAGGAATATTTAAATAATGTTACATGCGTCATTTAGCCAGAGAATGATGATGACCAATTTAAGTGACATTGTGTGTAAAAAACATACAAAATGAAATTGTTTGTGTAAGTAAAGCTGTGTGTTAATTTCCATGTCATGTATTCCTTTTTTTTTTTTTGTAAAATATTCTGCAAAAAGCGTAATTAAGTGGGTACTTAATGGTTGTAAATATACATACATACAAACGTGCAGAAACAAAACAAGGTAAAAGTATTATAATTTTTTTAAATATTTATTACCGAACATACAACCAACAGAACAGAAAAACAGACAGAGAAACAAACAAATAAACAGATTTAAACATGTATGAATGTAGACACATACATATATACACTATCCGGTAGTTACAATTTACTAAATAGATATATTTCTACTTGAACATTTATATGGTCAAACATGCCGAACATGATATGGAAAACCTTAAACTTAATTACAATTAAGTCTGAAGAGTAAAACTGAAAACAAAATAAAACATTAATTAAAATGAAATAATACTTTTTGTGCGTTGTTTCTTTATTTTACATAAAACAGAATTACATAACTTTAATTAAAAGCTATTTAAATAGCTTTAAAGATAAACTTGATGTAAAAATAATAGAAAGAGATAAATGAAATCTTAGAAATAGCACGAAGATCTTTCAAATATCGAAGATACCATTACCGTGTCACCATTTTCGAGCGTAACTGGTCGTATATCACGAATATGTTGCGCTGAAAGACACCAATTGTTAATAACAGAGGGATGTTAAATTGTTCGATTTTAGTTATCAATTAACAGACCCATTTCTGAACGTACCACCACCTTGTTAAAATCATAAAAAACACTGACCACAGTGCGATAACGATCACCAGACAGTAGACTAGTTTATTGTTCAGACTATATACCCCACTAAAATTCTAACTTAATCCAGTCCAATGATTATAATTTAATTATAATTTATAATAGATTATAATTCAGAATACGGAATAGATTATAATCCAGATAATAGACTGGATTTTAGACTTTAATATAGTCCAAGCTCTAAACTACAAACTAAACTACAAACTAATCCAGAGTATAGACTAGACCATAGTCCAGACTATAGACTAGACTATAGTCCAGACTATTGACTAGACTATAGTCCAGACTATAGACTAGACTATAGTCCAGAGTATAGACTAGACTATAGTCCAGACTGTAGACTAGACTATAGTCCATACTATAGACTAGACTATAGTCCATACTATAGACTAGACTATAGTCCATACTATAGACTAGACTATAGTCCATACTATAGACTAGACTATAGTCCATACTATAGACTAGACTATAGTCCATACTATAGACTAGACTATAGTCCAGAGTATAGACTAGACTATAGTCCAGACTATAGACTAGACTATAGTCCAGACTATAGACTAGACTATAGTCCAGACTATAGACTAGACTATAGTCCAGACTATAGATTAGACTATAGATTAGACTATAGTCCAGACTATAGACTAGACTATAGTCAAGACTAGACTATAGTCAAGACTAGACTATAGTCAAGACTAGACTATAGTCAAGACTAGACTATAGTCAAGACTAGACTATAGTCAAGACTAGACTATAGTCAAGACTAGACTATAGTCAAGACTATAGACTAGACTATAGACCAGACTATAGACTAGACTATAGTCCAGACTATAGACTAGACTATAGTCCAGACTATAGACTAGACTATAGACCAGACTATAGACTAGACTATAGTCCAGACTATAGACTAGACTATAGTCCAAACTATAGACTAGACTATAGTCCAGACTATAGACTAGACTATAGTCCAGACTATAGACTAGACTATAGTCCAGACTATAGACTAGACTATAGTCCAGACTATAGACTAGTACAGATGGGGGATTAAACTATAGCTCAGAAGGGAAACTATACCATAGTCCAGGTGGAAGACTAACCTATAGTCCAGATGGTAGACTATACCATAGTCCAGACTATAAACTAAAGTCCACACTATAGACTATAGTCCAGAGTATGGACAAGACTATAGTCCAGACTAAAGCCTAGACTATAGTTCAGAATATAGACTATACTATGGTCCAGAGTATAGACTAGACTAAACTATATTGTGGACTGTAGACTAGACTATAGACCAGTCTATTAACTAGACTATAGTCTAGTATATTAACTATAGACTAGACTATAGTCCAGTCTATTAACTAGACTTTACTACAGTCTATTAACAAGAATATAGTCCAGTATTTTGCCTATAGGCTAGACTATTGGCCAGAATAGACTATACTATAGTCAAGACTATAGACTAGAGTATAGTCTAGACGATAGACTAGACTATTGGTTTGATAGCTATCCCTTTTGTGTATTCTGTTGGTCTTAAAAAGCACAAAAGTATTTAATTAGTTTAATTATTTTAATTTGCAATAAATATTTTCTAATTCTTTCATTCTCTTTCAGACTTATTCTTTCCTTATCTAAAGTCAATAAATATTTTTGCAAGAATATAATTTGTTGAAAAACTGCTAATGAAATCTTTGCAATTATTTTCTACTTTTGTTCAGTTGTTTCTGCTACTTTTTGTTGAAACAATTGTTTCTTTTGTAAGATTTCTTCTTGCATTTAACTTTTAAGTACTTTTTTTGTAATGTCATGTTGTTAAAGTGTTTTAATTATATTTATGTTTTTTTTTTTCTTCAGCTTCTATTTTTATTCATTATGACTATTTCTTTTATTGTTGCCATCGTCACTTTTAATAATACAAAAGAAAAAACTAATAGATAATTGAAAATTAACCCACTTAGTGGGCGTAAAAATGGTAACGCTTGAGGTCGTTTTTATAGACAGTTTTTTGTGTTTTCTTAGCTATTCAAGTTTTTGCATTGCGTACCAAATTTATGTCTAAACTTAAAAGTACAATATATTGTTAGTAACCCTATAAGATAGATATTTTTAAAATACTTTCTCTTTCATTCCCAATAACAATTGTTAAATATTTCTTTAAAAAAACTAAATTTCTTTTGTATTTTTTCTGGGATTTCAAAATGTTTCATTTATTTTTTTATTTTCATTTTTTGTTTTGTCATGTCTTTAAGTAGAAGATTATCTGTATTATTTCATCACAGCACACTTTAATGAATTTAAAATTTAATAAAGAAATACAATTGTTTGTTTAAAATTGTTTAATCATTTAATTAGCTTTTTGTTTAGGTTTTGAGAGCAAAAAAAAAAAAAAAATAAAATAAAATTTGTTAATAGCGGTGTTTAAAAAGGCGTAAAATATATAAAAAATTGTTTTAAACCACATTGTAAAACTCAATTTTTTATATTTCTTTTCCAGGTGTTGGTGTAGTCTTGGTTACTGTTAGTGGTGCTGCCTGGCGTATGACAGCACCGGGTGGTCCACCCTGTCTAGGCCTGGGTTCAAGTGTTGATTTAGGCAGATGTGGTCGTCGACCCTGCAGTAGAGGAGGCGGAGCCCCACAAGGCTTACTTTATCCGGAATTTCAGCACAGGCCACCACCACCCTCATATCAAGCCAGTATGCAGGAATATCGTTTAAGGTTGGTATATCCTCACTTACGACTTTATATTTTTTATAAATTTTTCCTTTATAAGAAATTTTTCCTTTATAGACCAGTAGCTGTTCAAATCTAGTTCAGTTCAGTTCTAGTTCAGCTCTAGTTCAGTTCTAGTTCAGTTCTAGTTCTGTTCTAGTTCAGTTCTAGTTCAGTTCTAGTTCTGTTCTAGTTCAGTTCTAGTTCAGTTCTAGTTCAGTTCTAATTCAGTTCTAGTTCAGTTCTAGTTCAGTTCTAGTTCAGTTCTAGTTCAGTTCTAGTTCAGTTCTAGTTCAGTTCTAGTTCAGTTCTAGTTCAGTTCTAGTTCAGTTCTAGTTCAGTTCTAGTTCAGTTCTAGTTCAGTTCTAGTTCAGTTCTAGTTCAGTTCTAGTTCAGTTCTAGTTCAGTTCTAGTTCAGTTCTAGTTCAGTTCTAGTTCAGTTCTAGTTCAGTTCTAGTTCAGTTCTAGTTCAGTTCTAGTTCAGTTCTAGTTCAGTTCTAGTTCAGTTCTAGTTCAGTTCTAGTTCAGTTCTAGTTCAGTTCTAGTTCAGTTCTAGTTCAGTTCTAGTTCAGTTCTAGTTCAGTTCTAGTTCAGTTCTAGTTCAGTTCTAGTTCAGTTCTAGTTCAGTTCTAGTTCAGTTCTAGTTCAGTTCTAGTTCAGTTCTAGTTCAGTTCTAGTTCTAGTTCAGTTCTAGTTCAGTTCTAGTTCAGTTCTAGTTCAGTTCTAGTTCAGTTCTAGTTCAGTTCTAGTTCAGTTCTAGTTCAGTTCTAGTTCAGTTCTAGTTCAGTTCTAGTTCAGTTCTAGTTCAGTTCTAGTTCAGTTCTAGTTCAGTTCTAGTTCAGTTCTAGTTCAGTTCTAGTTCAGTTCTAGTTCAGTTCAGTTCTAGTTCAGTTCTAGTTCAGTTCTAGTTCAGTTCTAGTTCAGTTCTAGTTCAGTTCTAGTTCAGTTCTAGTTCAGTTCTAGTTCAGTTCTAGTTCAGTTCTAGTTCAGTTCTAGTTCAGTTCTAGTTCAGTTCTAGTTCAGTTCTAGTTCAGTTCTAGTTCAGTTCTAGTTCAGTTCTAGTTCAGTTCTAGTTCAGTTCTAGTTCAGTTCTAGTTCAGTTCTAGTTCAGTTCTAGTTCAGTTCTAGTTCAGTTCTAGTTCAGTTCTAGTTCAGTTCTAGTTCAGTTCTAGTTCAGTTCTAGTTCAGTTCTAGTTCAGTTCTAGTTCAGTTCTAGTTCAGTTCTAGTTCAGTTCTAGTTCAGTTCTAGTTCAGTTCTAGTTCAGTTCTAGTTCAGTTCTAGTTCAGTTCTAGTTCAGTTCTAGTTCAGTTCTAGTTCAGTTCTAGTTCAGTTCTAGTTCAGTTCTAGTTCAGTTCTAGTTCAGTTCTAGTTCAGTTCTAGTTCAGTTCTAGTTCAGTTCTAGTTCAGTTCTAGTTCAGTTCTAGTTCAGTTCTAGTTCAGTTCTAGTTCAGTTCTAGTTCAGTTCTAGTTCAGTTCTAGTTCAGTTCTAGTTCAGTTCTAGTTCTGTTTTAGTTCTGTTCTAGTTCAGTTCTAGTTCTGTTCAAAATATATATAAAGAATCGTGACCATTGACCACCTTTTTGTATCCAATCAGTCTCTTATATTTTTAAGAAATGAGTATCCAAAGCTTGTAAAATTGCATGTTTTATTTTACAACTAACAAAAGTTTTATAATGTTATACAAGATAATAATAATAGGCACCACTTACCAGTGGCAACTGAAAATAATTGAAAGTCTATAAATTTAAAGATTGCATGTCCCAGTGTCATTTATATGGCAAAATACACAAAGTTTTATTAATCTATTTTACAAGGGATTGCTATTCTTGTTTTAGCAAACTACCAAAATAAAAAAACAATTAATTTATTTCTCATGTTTAATTTATGTTCTTTTCACAGACTACTTTTACTGGATAGAGATCGTCAGAATGGTGTAGTCAGAGGAAGTTCACCACCACCCACTTATCGTTCACATGCCGGAAGTTTGCTAAGGTAAGGACATGTATGCAGGGTGTTGGTAGTAGTTTTTATATGCAAAATTTTATTTAGAAAATAAATTTGCATAGAAATTAAAAAGAAAATACAAAAAAATAAAAATGTTAATAAAATGTATTATCAAACACCATATAAACTATTTTTTGAACATTTATAAACAAGCAACCCCATTTTCTTTTATATAATAGCACCAGAAAAAACGACAGCCAGGCAATTTAGCTGTTGTTTAAAAAATATATTTTTATATGAATATGTGAGGCATAGGCGAGGTTAGTTTGAACAGTGTTTTAGATCCAAATATTAACCCTGAAAGATAAGTATCTAGTAGGCCTACTAAGGCAAAGTTTAGTTTCTTTTTGTGTTTATAGAAAAAAACTTTTCTCACTGCCCTCGTATATTCATATACATGGTATATGCATTTGCATAGCAATAGAACGAAAACTTAGTGGTTTTTATAGTGTTACAATTGACAACTTTGCCCTTCAAAAACTGAAATCGCTGCAAAAAGCCAGAAAAAAACTTTTTCCAAAACTTTTTAAAACACCCAAAAACAAAATATTCAAAAGTACCCCTAAAACTCTTTTACAGTTAAGCCAATTCGTGGCTATTGTTGTTGTTGTTATAGTTAATTCTCTTCAGAATAACAACAATAACACAACTCAGACAGACAGGACGTTTTTTTTTTCTTGAATATATATTTTTTGCCAGAAAAACACATTAAATACATGTAAAAACTTTGTCGTTGAACTTTGTAGACTGTTTTTAGTTCAATATCCCGGAAGTTCGGCGTGGCTATTTCGAATTAGTGATTTTACCTAACATTTAGTGGCACTCATATCCTTAAACAAACTTAATTGACTCGACCCAGACAATTCTCACACTTTGAATACAAAGGGACAATGGACTTTGTAATAGATATATTTGGTGATTTAAAAAGAGTATTTTTAAGACCCAGCAATAGGGATCTTTAAATTCTAGTTAATATAGAAGAAAAACATTTAATTCAGAATGTTTTACTGAATGATTAACAATAACTCCTTTCTAAAACTGCTGGGTATGGGTTGGCAAAATACAATGTCATAACATAGACAAACATACTTACTCGCTCCCAAAAAACAGGCCATAAATTTACATTTTCATATAAACAAGAACAACAACAACACTAAAAGCGACATCAGCATGTAACCAACAAACCAACAGACCAAAAACTACAACAACAATACAATAACCACAATAATTTCTCTTCATTGTAGTTGGTATAAAAGAAAGGATGTATAAAACCAGCCCCCCCATCAACAACACTCTTACATACATTGGCACACATGTTGAGAAAAGACACAACTGAACATGTGTGTGTGTGTTGAAAATATTTGTGAAAAATTTAAAGATTTTATTTCCGGTTAAATTTATGACTTTTGTAAAGTGTTTATGTATCATTGGGTTGAATCGAATGAATGCTTTTCTTGAACAAAATTTAATAAATAAAATGTAAGAAATTTATTATTTTCTTTATAAGATGGAACGAATTTTGAAGCTCTCCCCCCACAAATGTGATAGAAACAATTTAAAAGTTCTGAAATGCATTTAGAAATACAATAAATAAATATGTAATTTATTGGACATGCTTCTATGTATTATCTGTTCTAAATGAAAAGAAATTTAAAAAATTTCTTAATTTAATTTTGTAATTTTTATTTAATTTATAACACTCCGAAATATTGGTTATAGTGCAACAAAAGTGTATATTTCTGATCTTTATGAGGTTCTCATGCAATCCGTCCGTCCTTCTATTAAATGACACAGGCTGACAAAATTTGAAAAAAGTTGAAACCCTGAGACCATGTTATTTTCTAAAGGATTGAGAATCTGAGCCCAGATTAGGATTCAAAACTGGCCTCAGATTTTCTTCATCACATCTGGCATTTGAGATATCGTGTCGTGAAATTTGAAAAAAAAACCGCTATTTCTAGCATATTTGATACATTAAAACAGCGCCAAGACAACTTTATTTAAAAAGTCTGAAAGTCCATTGTATCAACTTTAAAATTAAAGCTTATTATATGAAATATCTTCTTTATACTACGAGATATCTTCATCTAAAGCTTGAAAATTCATAATTTTTGGTATATTCATGGTATTTACATCCTATACTACTATAGCATGCGGGGTATTATGCTTTGTTTATAACGAGCAAAAATATTAAATCCACACCTACCTGAGGATGTTTTGAATCGTCTCAAAATCACTTTCTGATTTGATTTAACGATGTATGTCCGTCCGTCCTTTAACTTCAACGGATGATATCTCAGCAATTGCAGCATATTTAAACAATGTACGAAAAAAATAAGTTTTTGTTAAATTATTGTTATATCAGGCTTTCGGTGAAGATATCTCCATTGTGTCAACTTTAAAATAAAAGCTTAACATCTGACATATACTCTTTCTTCTTCGAGATATCTTCACCAAAAGCTGGAAAACTCATGGCTTTCGGTATGTTCATGGTATTTATAACCTCCACTACTATAGTACGGAGGGTATTATGCTTTGTAAGTATTGTTTATAACGAGCAAAAATATTGGATCCACACCTTCCTGAGGATATTTCAATCGACTCAAAACCACTTTTCAATTCGATTTAACGATGTCTGTCCATCCGTCCCTCAACTTCAACGGATGAATGTACAGAAAAATTAAGTTTTTGTTAATTTGTTGTTGTTTTATCGCTTGAGGTGAAGATAACTGGAAGAAAAAGTAAGACAGTTAAAGCTGGAAGAATGGACTTTCAGATGGCAAAGAACATTTTATATATTATATGTTTTATTAGCCCTGTTATAAGGTCTCAAAAAGTGTCAAACTTAAAGATACGATATCACAAATCCCAGATGTGAAAGAGAAATTCTGAATTCAGCAAAGATCAATCCTTTGGGTTAAAAGTTTGTCGCCCTGTGTTATTTAGCATATTTCTCTCAACTTTAACCATATTTTGAATGACATCATTATACTTTAAACTTATTATAACTATCAAGAAATACATTCCTAATAAATCACATACAAACTAAACAGATGTCATTGACCACATAAACGACTAAGCATTATATAGATTTTCATAATATAATATTTTCTTTTGAAAAACACAACTAAATCGTCCTTTAAAATTTTAACCCAAATATATTTTTGTTTTTCTTATAATCCGATTATGGTTAAAACGTTTAAAAACGGATCCTTTTTGTTTTTTTTACGTTTTCGTTTCTTTTATTTAGCATACTAATACAAATATTTAACTCTGATTCTTTTTCAACAAATCGACTTTGTCTTTAGGCCAATGACTTGTGTGTGTGTTTGTGCCTTTATAAGTTGTATACACCTCCTACCCTTCCCTTCTCATTTCAAACTTTCCTTTTCTACAGAGTACTTTTGTCTTTATTTTTGGTAATATACTTTTAGTCCTATTAAATGATTAAGTTTAGGCTCATTTAACTCATAATTGCCACTTTGATCTCTTACAATAATGAGTAGTAATTAAAAAAAAAAAGTTTATATTATCTTTAGTCTGGTTCTGTGGGTGTTCCTTTTATATAAGCTGGATATTCCTTTTGCTGTATATTGATGCTAAAAGTTGATTGTTGATAATGCTACCACGCGCTGATGATTATAATGATGCGAAAACTTTGTCTGCTGTTGTCTTTAACTTTTAGTGGAAAATTGGAAGATAATTTTACTTTTGCACAAAAATTGGGGTTTCCTTTCTTTTGCACATTGATATGTGTGTGTTGTAAATTATAGGTCAGGCAAGGGAATGTATTAAAATGTTTAATGTTATTATAAGTAAATGAGCTTTTTGCAAAAAGAAGTTAATTTTAATCCTTTTAAAGAAAAATTACTTAAATAAAAGGAGAATTATGAAATATGGAAATTTTTCGGAATACAATAGCTTTGGTAGGAAAAAAACTGTAGTGTTTTTAAAGATTTTCAAGTTTAAGGTTATGTCTAGTTCAATTCTAGTTCAGTTCTAGTTCAATTCTAGTTCAGTACTAGTTCCAGCTTCTAGTTTAGTTCTAGTTCAGTTCTAGTTCAGTTCCTAGTTCAGTTCTAGTTCTAGTTCAGTTCTAGTTCATTCTAGTTCAGTTCTAGTTCAGTTCCTAGTTCAGTTCTAGTTCAGTTCGAGTTCAGTTTCTAGTTCAGTTCGAGTTCAGTTCTAGTTCAGTTCTAGGTTCAGTTCTAGTTCAGTTCTAGTTCAGTTCTAGTTCAGTTCTAGTTTCAGTTCTAGTTAGTTCTAGTTCAGATCTAGTAGTTCTAGTCAGTTCTAGTTACAGTTCTAGTTCAGTTCATGTTCAGTCTAGTTCAGTTCTAGTTCAGTTCCTAGTTCAGTTCTAGTCATTCTAGTTCGTTCTAGTTCAGTTCTAGTTCAGTTCTAGTTCAGTTCTAGTTCAGTTCTAGTTAGTTCAGTTCTAGTTCAGTTCTAGTTCAGTTCTAGTTCAGTTCTAGTTCAGTTCTAGTTCAGTTCTAGTTCAGTTCTAGTTCAGTTCTAGTTCAGTCTAGTTCAGTTCTAGTTCAGTTCTAGTTCAGTTCTAGTTCAGTTCTAGTTCAGTTCTAGTTCAGATTCTAGTTACAGTTCTAGTTCAGTTCTAGTTCAGTTCTAGTTCAGTTCTAGTTCAGTTCTAGTTCAGTTCTAGTTCAGTTCTAGTTCAGTTCTAGTTCAGTTCTAGTTCAGTTCTAGTTCAGTTCTAGTTCAGTTCTAGTTCAGTTCAGTTCTAGTTCAGTTCTAGTTCAGTTCTAGTTCAGTTCTAGTTCAGTTCTAGTTCAGTTCTAGTTCAGTTCTAGTCAGTTCTAGTTCAGTTCTAGTTCAGTTCTAGTTCAGTTCTAGTTCAGTCTAGTTCAGTTCTAGTTCAGTTCTAGTTCAGTTCTAGTTCAGTTCTAGTTCAGATCTAGTACAGTTCTAGTTCAGTTCTAGTTCAGTTCTAGTTCAGTTCTAGTTCAGTTCTAGTTCAGTTCTAGTTCAGTTCTAGTTCAGTTCTAGTTCAGTTCTAGTTCAGTTCTAGTTCAGTTCTAGTTCAGTTCTAGTTCAGTTCTAGTTCAGTTCTAGTTCAGTTCTAGTTCAGTTCTAGTTCAGTTCTAGTTCAGTTCTAGTTCAGTTCTAGTTCAGTTCTAGTTCAGTTCTAGTTCTGTTCTTGTTCAGTTCTATTTCAGTTCTTTTTCAGTTATATTTCTAGTTCAGTTCTAGTACAGTTCTACCTGAATTCCTCTTCAGTCGTCAACATTTTCCAATATGAACTTTATCCCCACAAAAGTGAATCAGGTCTAATATGAATATATTTTGCCACATGGAATATTATTTCTATTCGTTCTAAAACTTTTTTTAATAAACAAATGCAAATAGAATTTTGTTTATAAAACAACCATTTGGAAGTGGAATGAGTATTATAAACTTGTCAAATACAAACTTTGAATTTTTCCACAAAAAAATGTACAAAATCAACTAGGAGTAAACACACAGTCACTCAATAAGGGTAAATCTACTCTAGCAAATTGGATTGAATCGATTTTTTTTTTTATTTTGCTACAAGTATCTACATATCTTGGTTTACAGATTGGCTTAAGTAAATATAATCAATCAATATGTAAATTAAAACAAAACACAGAAAAAGGTGTTGGACTGTAGATTAAATTGGCAAAAAAAAGGTTAAACAAAAAATATAGGAAAAATAAAGAAAATTGAGTTGAAGGAAATTGAATATGTTTAAACCAAAAATTTTGACTAATGATTTCCTATATGTATTTAATAAAGAAAATTAACAAAGATTTATTTATTTTTTTTTTTAGAGCTCCCTTAACATCAACAATACGCGGCACTAGTGGTGCACACTCGGGCACACGTTGCGAAAGCAGCATAGGCGGTTCCGAATACAGTTTCCCGCCCAGTTATCGTTCACGCAACACAACACCTGGAACAATTAGCAGTGAACGTAGCATTGAAACCGAACCCTCAGGACGTCTTTTAGCCAACGAAGACATACCCGAACCCTTGAGTGTTGAACAATTATCCGAATATAATTCGCTACAACAACGCTGCAATAACAATAACGGTGGTAATGCCCAAAAAACGGAACAGAAAAGAAATTCTGTACAAATGGATACAAATATTTTAATATCGAAAACCGATACTAATCTCAATAATTTGAATAGTGATAAAAAAGATGATTTAGTGACTATTGTCACTATAACACCACAGAACAATGAGAATTTAGAGGCGAACGAAAATCGCAATAATAATGAAAATAACGTCATAGTAGGCACCGAGTCAAGAGAACAAATTGAAATATTGGCTCATTTGTAAATAGAAAAAGAAAATTGTTTGTTAAAGAAAAAATAATATTTATTATAAATAAAATTATAAGAAAATTGTTTTGAAATATAAGCCATTAGCTTAGATGTGGTTATTTGTATTATTTTATATATCGGTTTTATATAAAATTCAATTTTGATGAAAATATTTCAGTTTTGGTAGATACGGAAGTTGGGGGGTATGATTTATTTATTGTTTATATCGGGTCGTTACCAAACTTGTAGACTTTAAAGGCTCTACTGGATCCTCCTATTATGAAAGGAATTCTTCCTCTCCTAAATTTCTACTTACATATATCCGTAGATCAGTTCCCTACTTTATAAACCCTAAAACTTTTAAAAAGTCATACCTCTTCATATTTTGTATGATGAAAAATTTGCCTCAAATTTTGTGAAACTTTTTACTAATTTAATTTGTTTCTATATTCTTAAAATAATCTTAATTTAAAAGATTAAAATAAAATAAACACTTACAATTAAATATTTTTCCTTCTCATTATTAATCCAAAGGTATTTATTTTTATATATTTACAAAATTAAGAAAAAAACACAAAAAAACATTGTTAATTTTTTATATTATTTGTTAAGAATTTATACTGTAATACATACATACATATATAACAAAACAATATATAAATTTAACTTTTTGTAAATAATCTATATAAAATATAAACAATAAATTTAACAAAAAAAAACAAAAGTTAAACGTAAAAAACACAAAATTATATATTCATTAAATAATTATGTATAAATGTTTTTATGTAATTTATAAGTCAAATTGTATTGTCTGTATATAAACAATAACAAAAAAATCAATAAAAAGAAAAATAATCAACAATTTAAATCTTAAATAAATAAATGTATAAAAATTGTTAGAAAAAAAAAACAAAGAAATTATTTTTATTATTTATTTGGAAAACAAATCCGCAAGATACTTGTAAGTATGATGAGTAAGATCTTATAGGCCAAAATTGATTCCTAATCATTTTTTTACAAACATTTTTCACAAAGTTACAAGTTCTATATGTTTCTCATAACAGTTGTTGCGATAAAGTACCAATAAGTCCATTTTTAAAAACTCCTCTGTAGATCGAACAAGTGAGAGTGTTATATTCGACACGGCTCATATAAGCACCATCAAACCGTATGCCATAAAAGGAATGCTCCCCTATAAATATCAGAATCACTCATCAAATTAACTGACCGTTTTTGATAAAATTTTTACCGACACTTTCCGCATGAAATTCGGTAGGAAGATTTAAGTTTCTATAAAAGTTTATTATATAAAAAGTTCATAACTGTACAGTGTACACGTATTTTTAAGCCTGAAATGATGATTAAAGTAATTTTCTGAAGGGACTCTATATGCGGGTAGGGTCAATTACGGACTGATCCTCAATAAATTTGGTAGAGAGTTTTTAACTCATATAGTATAATTACTGGGCACTGTATGATTGGACATATGTCAGAATCGGTACAACACCTTCTATGTGACTGTCCAGCCTTACAAGAGCACAGACTACCCTATTTGGGTAGAGCTCTTTTCCATGATATAGACTGTCTCAGAGATGCGTCACTGATAAACATGATCGATTTTATTAAAAGCACCGTCTGGTTTACAATGAGACCGAACGAACCAAGTAGTCAACGAAATTAGGGAGGATAACCATTCTCTCATCGCTAGGGAATGGTAATTCTAATGGTATCACAATGGGCCACAAGGCCTTCGAGTGAACTCGCTTGCTAGCGAGCAACCCACGTAACCTAACCTTTTAACTCGTATACAACTTTTGTGTGTCGAATTTCATCGCTTTACTCGTATTTTTAAGCCAGTAATGTGCTTTAAAGTCATATTCTGAATCGAGCTTATACGGGGTTCAATCATATGCCGATTCTCATAAAAGTCAGCAGAGAGGTTAAATTTACTTATGTCAAATTTCATCGATATTGCTTTTAAACCAGTTATGAGCGTTAGAGTAAGTTTCTGAAGGGGACCTTATAGGTGCGTATGGTCAATTATATACGGATGATTTAGTAGAACAATTTTGGATCGTAAGAAACTTACTTATATTAAATTTCATCAATTGTACTCGTATTTTTAAGCCGGTAATGAGCGTTAAAGTCATATAAGGTCCCAATCAGTAGATGGGGACCTTATATGGGGGGTAGGTTCAATTATGGATCGATCGACATAAAATACGGTAGAGAGATTTTGGCTACGGCAAATTTATTTACGGCAAATTTCATAGCTATACTCATATTTTTAAGCTAGTAATGAGCGTTAAAGTCATTTTCTGAAGCGGATCCTTTATGGGGGGTAGGATCAATTAGGGACTGATCCTGATAAAATTCGGTAGGGAGATTTTGGCTAATATGAAACTTATTTCTATTGAATTTCATCGCTATACTAACACTTTTGAAACATATATGCCCGTTAATGCTGTTTTTAGGGGGTCCACTTGTATGGGGGCTATCCGAAAACGTGCACCGATATCCATTTTCAATACTAAAGAAACCTTACCTATAAAGAATATTTGTGGAAAATTTCAACCCTCTAGCACATTCCTTTCGGACTCTATCGTGTTTTCAACGGGCAGACAGACAGACATGGCTAAATCGTCATAGAATTTAATAAGGACCCAGAATATACATACTTTTGTGGACCAGTATTTCGATGTGTTACAAATGGAATGACAAAATCAATATACCGGTGGGTATAAAATGTACCCAAAAGTTTATTCTTATACATTTTCATTACATCAAGATTCTATAGGTCAGCTTTTATGTTTCTAGGTTCAGTCAAAAAGTACCAGCTATAAACTCAAAAGTACCATACAGTGCTTTTTTATAAATTACCATTGAAAAGCTTCTATTTTCAATATAATAAAATATTCCAAGGTACAAGATGCAGAACGAAAAAATATCAAAAATCGTACGTTTTTTCGTTATAAAACTTCTTTAAGTCAAATTTAATCGCCGGTCAATTATTTTAAGCATTAAAGTCTTTTACATAATATAGCCTGATTGTCGAGAAATTTAGTAGATAGGTTTCGGTTCCTATAAAACTTGATTATGTCGAATTTCATGGTTATATTTACATACTAGTAAATTTTTAAGCATATTTAAGTGATTAAGCTGACGACGCGTAATATCTCCTTTTTTTATATCTCCTTTTTTTTTCCTTTTTTTCGGAGAATCTTATTGAATGTTCCATAGAATGTGAAAATTATTCATTTAAATTAGATTTATTGGTAACAGTACTATTAAACATATATATTTAATTAGTTGATAAGTCCCTTAAGGATACTATAGTATTTGGGAAAAAATATTATTTATAATTTAGTTTTAATGAAACATATGTAAAAAGGAAATTTTTGGAAATAAATTGAACTTGAACTTGAAGCTGACGACGCAACGAGGTCTGAATTAAAAATATGGACGAGAAAATTACATAAGGCGTGTTGAATAATGATGGATAGAAGCAAAAAGATACTATGGAGTAACCCTAACGAGAACAGGACGATTTGCCGCCTTAAAATGAGCTAGTCTAAGATTAGTATGATGGTACATATTCTGAAAATTGAACGTGCGGATTCAGGCGATTGTAGAACATGTAGAGAGAACAGTGAAACATTCGAAAATTCTTAGGAATTACTCCCAGAACACTGAGGTTCCTTAAAAAGGTGATCACAACAGCATACATCCTCCTATCAATCCAATCTAACATATTTAAACATAACCTAAGCACGAATTATATCGTTCTGGGACAATGTTTATGACCTCTTAAATGTAGTGATCGAGTAAAACTGATCGTAATTTTAGATGATGATATTCATGATGATCGACAAATTATAAAGCATACCTTAAGGCATTAATAAATGTTTATTAATAAGACTCTTAAACTAAAAATAGATTATGAATACGAGGTCTTTACTATTTAATATGTGGCATGTCTAATTAGATGATGAAAAAGATGTGAATTTCACCAAATTCTTTAATACGATTTTATATACATAAATGTTATTATGATTAATTAAGAGATTTTGCAAAGTTCAAACAATTCTGGGCCCAAAAGTAATTAGCCTCAAGTTTCAGGTTTACATGACAGAGGGACTCTAAAAATTATTTTGATCCGATTATAATACTTTAGGGTATGTATAGATCATTGGTTTGGGGTTTACCAGTTTTAAACTTCACAAAAAACTCGACATATATACATTTTTTTTTAAGAAACAACATTTATCTATCAAATTTCCAGATGATTGGCTCACAATTCTTCCTACCACCACATAACTCCTCTTGTAGAAATCTTATAAATAGTTTTACGATATAATTTTCTAAAAATATTTGTTCTAGTAAAATTAATCACTTTTTCAAATAGTGCACCACAGTTCGATTCATTAATGATCCAAGATCAAGAGTGAGACGAATCAAGACTTTGCAATAATCCCAAAATCCTTTAAAAAAAAGTTATCTCAATTTTAGATCAATCATCATTAAATTTGTTTACAGTTATTTTGGTTCCATATAAAAATAAGTAAGAATGTATAGACGGGCATGGCCGACCGTATGATACCCTACACAAATGTGGATTATTTTTCTAATAAGTAATAAAGCATTTTTCCTTAATTCAGAAATATTTTAACAATCTGTTACCAAAAAAAGTGATTTTCTGAAAAAGGGGTTATATGGGGGCAAAAGTAAATATGGTCCTATACGTATACATTTTGGTAGAGCGATTTACGATGACATTAAAGTTATTTATGCAGAATTACAATGTGATACTTTCCACCTTCAAGTAATTTTCTGAAGGGGACTAATGAGGCCTTATCATTACGAAAATCGACAGTATCATTTAAGCTCTATTCGGGGATAAGGTTGTATGGGTGCTAGACGAAATAATGGACCGATTTTAACCATTTTCCTTGAGTCAAAAGAAGAGTATGTGCCAAATTTCATCAAATTATCTTTGATGAAATGTACACACAGACGGACAGAAAGACAGACAGACGGACATAACTAAATCGACTCAGAAAGTGATTCTGACCCGATTGGTATACGTTAACATCAGCACAAACGCATAATACCCTCCCCATTATAGTGATGTAGGGTATAAATATGTATTTAAGTTTAGTATATCCATCTTTTAGATTATAGGTCTTATGTTACTCCAATTAGATCAGTGGCAGCACTACCTTCATTTCAAACAAAATCGTGGCAGCATTGAAATATTGTCAATTTGAATGCCTAAAACTATGCAGAAATATTTGACAGTTAGTAGTTTCACTTCATATGCATTTCAAAAGTTTATAAAATATGTACATATATTTTATATACATTCATATATATTTTATATTTATAAATAACCACGACTGGATTAAAATAATTTTTCGTATTCATTTAAATTGCCTAAATTTCAATTTACAATAAAATTTAAACTTTCTATCACATAAAATTTTTCTATTCCATCTCAATTAAATAGAATCCATTTACAATTTAGAAAAGGTCAACTTTATATGAAAATAAAACTAAACCTATTATTTAAATTATATTTTTCGATTGATCTATAAAAAAAGCACAATAAATTACATTGCAAAGTCCGAAGTTATTAAGATGAACCTTCTTCTCAAATGACTTCTTATGTTTGTAGTGAAGTGATTTTTAAATTTTCTTAACTTAATAAAAACATAACAATTTTAGTGGTAATTCAATATCCTTTTTTGTATATTTTCTTGTATGTTTTTTTTATTGGTTCCTTTTTTATGGTTATTGTTGTTAAGCCTAATCTAGTGGAAACCTTTTTTTTCTCATTTTGCTTTTTTCTTTTTTTGATTATGAGTAAGTGTAGTTTAACCTTTTTTTACCAATTGTTGGGTTATGTCCTGTGTGCCGGACAGAAAATCCATTCATAAAAAAACAAGTGTTAAAATCGATTAACACCATTAATGCTGACCAAAAGAAGTGGGAGCTTTAGTTTATATAGCCTGTAACCTCTACAGAGGATAGGGTATTATGCGTTTGTATTGGTGTTTGTTACACCAGAACTTTGTGTTTCTAAAACCAGCGGAGGTACAACTACCGGTTTAAAATCATTATCTAAGTCAATTAAAATTGAACAAACATCTGTCTGGTTGCCTACAAACTTCTTTACTTGGATCATATATGAACTATATTAAAAATTGTTGAATCGGTTCCCATACAAAAGTTCTTGCGCGATATAGTCTGAAAGCTAAAAACAAAACATCTGGGTTCTTGACATTTCCTGCAGCAAACATTTCATCTAAACCAATAATACCAATAAATAGTAGTTTTTGTTTCAAATCCCCACAAAAGCTTCAATGAAATTGGTATCAAATTTCAAATACCAATATAAGAAATAATGCAAAAAAAGCCTTTAGACTAAAAACAGCTATATAAAAAATAAGTTCTGATAAAATTAAAGCAAAATCACAAATGAAACGAAAATTTGGTTAAGCATGAAATCACTTAAATGGTATTAATATTGATTTTCGATTTTGTTCAAATACTTTTGTTTTTTTTTTTTTTTTGTACATTCTTTTTTCTTTGTTTACATGACAATCCCGGAATTACACGTACTTGTGCATGTATATCGGAATACCACAAATTATTGACCCTTTTAATGACTTTGTGGTTTTTATGAAATTGAAAAGAAAAAAATTGTTTTAATAGCAAAAAAAAAAAAACGTTAAAATAAAACCCAGCAGTTCGGCAAAGATTCAATGCATCCGAAAAATATTAAATTTTCAGTAACGTCTAACAGCTTGGTTGGCAGTAATTCGTCTTTCGCGACGAATGTGAAAAAAGTCGCAATTTAGAGTCCATTTTTTAAGCGAGAGTGGAGACAGTCGTTATTTTACAATCCCCAAGCAATCTAGATAGTAGCCCCTCAAAAAACAAGTTTGTTATCTCGTTATAATCTATGGAGTGACGATTGATTTCCTTCTAGGACAAGCACTTGTTAAAAAAGCTAGTTGTTGTTGTTGTAACAGCCAAAACTATACAATAATCTAGTTGGGGGGTTGTCCAGGCTTAAAAATTGGGCTACTTCAACTGGATTCGTCCATAAATCCATTGGATAGAGTGAAGTAGGGTTGGCTGAGCAGATGAATATGTGGTGGGTATCATGAGGACCCTGACCACATGCAGGATATTCGTTGCGGACGGCACGGTCTATACGTGACCAGTAGGCATTGAGCCTGTTGCTCCATCCCGATCTTAGTTGTGCCAGAACTACTCTTGTTTTCCACGGCAGGTTTTCTTTCGTGTCTGCTATGGGCGGTGGGCGACCTCCAAGTACGACATTCATGCGGTATCATGCGACCGCGGAATTTATGGCGTCTCTATGAATGTCGTTCAAAGCTGCCGAATACGAGGACTGATCCAGTGGATCACTCACATATCTGCATATGTTTTCCTCGTATTCACGAAGATCTTTCCTGACATGCCTCGGGGGAGTATCCAATTGTGTGATGTTAAAATTGGGATGACTTCTCCGATGACATCCCAGGAGGAACTGTTTAGTCAACATGACATTGTGTTCCTTGTCATTCCCCGACAGCCGGTTCTACGTACCGGAATGACCGGAATTATTCGGCCAAGGACTGTCAACCCCAGCAACAATAAAAAAAATAGCTAGTCATCGGTAGAGCCAGGGTTAACCCTAAGTGATCGGTTAAATAGATAGGCATTTCGGGACTATCCCTCCGAACTGCTGGGTATTACAGTTTGAAATAAAACTTTTGACACTGATGCTATTCAATTAAGCGAATGTGTCAAAAATAATAAGTACAATATTACAAGTGTAATATTATAAATGCATAGTTTTAGAAACTGTATAAAAAATTAATAATAGTCTTACATACTATTGTCTATAATTTAAAAATAAACTTATTCAATGTTTCTGGTTTTGTTAAACGTTTAATGGACGAAGTTTGCAAAAAATGTTTCGGTAATCTCGGATCTTCTAAACCAAGAGAGATATCAAATTGTAATGTGTCGTCGTCTTACATTTAAAAAACAAGTAGGAATGTATAGTAGGGCATGGTCGACTATATGATTCCCAACATCAGTGAGTACGGGGGCTATGGTAAAATGTGGCCCGATCATTACGAAAATCGTCAGTCAATTCGTCAATTCATATCAAGTGATCCAACTCAAAAAATCGATTTTGACGAAATTTACATCAAGATTAGTATATTGGATAGTAGGCCAGCGCTATTGGACCAGAACTGCCGGACTTAGAGGGGGTCAAAGTTGGACATTTTGGTCATACAGAGTTTTATTCAAATGAGTGCAACTTTTCACTTATTGGTCCTAGCAAAAATTGTCCAAAGGAGTTCAGTTAGCAATTTCTTTATTGTTTCCAAATCTAAATCGGAAGACATCGATTTTTAAAGTTGGATCACTTGACACGAAATGACCCATATATAAAACTAAGCCTTGCTGATTTTAGTAGAGATACAAAAGACCTATTCGGAGGTATGGTTGTATGGGGGCTAGGCGAAATAGTGGATCGATTTCAACTATATTTAATGCCTTTGGTCAAAAGAAGAGTAAATTTCATTAAACTCTCTTTAAAATTGCGACCTCTATCGTGTGCACAAGGTTTACGGACAGACAGACAGGTCTGCCTGTCTGACCTGGACGGTCATAGCTATATCGAGCTTATATCATATGCAGGTCATTCATATGCAGATTCTCATAAAACTCAGTAGAGAGGTTCTGGTTCAGAAGATAATTACTTATGTCGAATTTCATCTCTATAGCTACTCGTACTTTTAAGCCAGTAATGAGTGTTAAATTAATTATCTGGAGTGAGTGTTATAGGGGGTAAGATCAATTATGGACCAATCCGCATAAAATTTTGATTTTGATTCGCATGGAACTTACTTGGGTCGAATTTCATTGCTTTAGGTACTCGTATTTTTAAGCCATTAATGAGCTTTAAAGTAATTTTCTGAGGGGAACCTTAGATGGGGGGTAGAGACAATTATGGACCGATCCACATAAAATTTGGTAGAGAGGTTTTGGCTCATAAAAGACTTACTTATGTCAAATTTCATTGCTATACTCGTATTTTAAGCCAGTAATGATCGTTAAAGTAATTTTTTGAAGGGGACCTTATATGGGGTGTAGGGTCAACTATGTACCGATCCACATATAGTTTTATAAAGAGATTTTGGCTTGCATTAAACTTATGTCAGTCAAATTGCATCGCTATACTCGTATTTTAAAGCCAGTAATGATCTTTAAAGTAATTTTCTGAAGGGGACCTTATATGAGGGGTAGGGTCAATTATGGACCGATTCACACAAAATTTAATAGAGAGATTTTAGCTCCATTGAAACGTATGTGTGTCGAATTTCTTTACTATACTCATATTTTTAAGTCAGTAATGAGCGTTAAAGTCATTTTCTGAAGGGGACCTTATATGGCGGGTAGGGTCAATTATATACCGATCCATATTAAATTTGATAGTGAGATTTTGGCTTGCACGAAGGTTATGTGTGTCGAAATTCATCGCTATATTCGTATTTTTAATCCAGTAATAAGCGTTATAGTCATTTAATTAAGGGGACCTTATATGAGGGCTTGGGAGATTTTGGATCATATAAAACTTATATATGTCGAAATTCATCGCTATACTCGTACTTTTAAAACTGATATGCCCGTTAAAGCTGTTTTTCGGAGGCCAACTTTTATGGGCGTTATCCGAAAACGTGGACCGATATTGCCCATTTTCAATACCAAAGAAACCTTACCTATAGAGAATATCTGTGGAAGAGTTTAATGCTTTAGCTCATTCCGTTGGGACTCTATCGTGCTTTCAACAGACAGACAGACGGACGGACGGACATACGGCTAGATCGTTTTAGAATTTAATAAGGACCCTGAATTTGGGTCTATGATCAATATTTCGATGCAAAATTAATCTCTTTGTTGTTTTTGCTTTACTGAAAACTTTGTGAAAACCCACATAGTACTACTACTAATATTCAAAATATATATTATATCTTGAAATTCGATTTACAAATCTATAGTTTTTTATTTCAAAGTTATAGCGAAATTGGTAAACTAAGACTAAATTCCATAAATTTAAAAAAAATATGCAAAACAGATCAAAAAATTACTATTGTAGGTTTTTGACTTTTATTGTCACTTTCCACCTTTATAATGAAAATAAGAATACTTACATTTCAGTCCAATATTCACCACTTTCCATATAAATAACAAGAATTTAACGCGAAAAGAAAGATTTCATTAAAATTTTATTGATACCAGCAAAAAATGTTGAAAATATTACATAATATTATTAAAATTTTGTTGTAGTTTAAATCATCATTAAATATAATTGCAAGTTATTTTTATACAGATAATAATGTTTTTTTTATATAACATATATAATAATAAATATTTAAGATATTTATAATAAAATAAAATATTTAAAGCCAAAACTAGGAGAATAAATGAGAATAAGACAGGGGTCATACAATTTTCAAAAAGAAAAACACAAAAATTACTTGAGAGGAAATTTTAAATAAAATAATAATTACAACAAACCTAACAAGTTATTTCAAAAATTTCAATTTCAAATTAATTACAAATGAAATCTTAACGCGTTTTTTTATAGAATTATTACATAAATTAAATATAATTTGTTAGGTTTTCATTGCAACAGGGGAGATTTTTGAGAAAGTTATAGGAAGGATCGATCGTTGATCGTTGTAGTTCGTTAAAATTATACAAAAAAGCAAAATTAAGTAGTTGAGGGAAAATATTAAAATTTAATCAAAATTTCAGTTTTAACTTTAAACGCAATAATAGGGGGAAGAGAGTAAAAGTTTTCAAAAAACAAAGTATTAATAATTGTTGATAATTAAAATTATAAGCTAAGCTTGTTTTTTTTTTTTTGTTTCATTAAATTAATATTAATAGTTTTTTATGTTGAGTTTTATTATGATTAACTAAATAAAAGAAATATATACTTGTGTTTTTATTTTTTGTTTTGTTTTAATTAAAATCAATGTTTTTATGCATTAAATGATCCCTGATGAAAAGGTGCGTGGTTTAGCGTTAATGTTTTTTTGTTGTTGTAGATATTAATATATTGCTGCTGCTGTTTTAGGTTGCAGTTGTTGCAGTCTTTCGGTTGCAAACAACTTCAAACCTTAACGAGCATGATTCTTGCAGAAGGGACGACCGCCCTTGTTGTAGAAGCTTTGACCTTCCAAGTTTTGTTTGCAGTACTGAAAAGGAAATGGACAAAATGGCGATTTATTAATAATTGTTGATCAACAGAAGTTTATCTTAATTTCGGAATTAACAGTAATAATTTTAATTTTAAAGTATGTTTCTATACTCGTCATAGAATAGATAATAGTCCAGACTATAGACTAGATAATATGTAATCCAGACTATAGACAAGAGTATAGTCCAGACTATAGAATAAAGTATAGTCCAGATTATAGAAAAGAGTATAGTTCTGACTATAGACTAGACTATAGTTTAGACGATAGATCAAACTATAGACTAAATTATAGAGCAGACTAATATTATTACATTTAAGTACAGACCGTGGGCTAAATTATAGTCCAGACTATAGACTAAACTATAGTCCAGATTATAGACTAAACTATAGTCCAGATTATAGACTAAACCAGAGTACAGACTATAGACTAAACCAGAGTACAGATTATAGACTAAACTATAGTCCAGACTATAGAATAAACTATAATCCAGACTATAGACTAAACTATAGTCCAGACTATAGACTAAGCTATAGTCCAGACAATAGACTAAGCTATAGTTCAGACTATAGACTAAGGTATAGTCCAGTCTATAGACTAAATTATATTCCGGTCTATAGACTAAACTAGACTACAGACTAAACTATAGTCCAGACTATAGACTAAACCATAGTCCAGACTAAACCAGAGTCCAGACTATAGACTAAACTATAGTCCAGACTAAATCAGAGTCCAGACTATAGACTAAACTATAGTCCAGACTACAGACTAAACTATAGGACAGACTATAGACTAAACTATAATCCAGATTATGGACTAAACTATACTCCAGACTATAGACTAAACTATAATACAGACTAAACTATAGTCTAGATTATAGACTAAACTATAGTCCAGACTATAGACTAAACTATAGTCCAGTCTATAGACTAAACTATAGTCCAGACTATAGACTAAACTATAGGCCAGACTATAGACTAAACTATAGTCCAGACTAAAGACTAAACTATAGTCCAGACTAAAGACTAAACTACAGTCCAGACTATAGACTACACTATAGTCCTGACTATAGACTTAACTATAGTCTAAACTATAGACTTAGCTATAGTCTAAACTATAGACTTAACTATAGTCTAAACTATAGTCCAGACAATAGACTGGCCTAGACTAAACTATAGTCTAGATTATAGACTAAACTATAGTCCAGACTATAGACTAAACTATAGTCCAGACTATAGACTAAACTATAGTCCAGACTATAGACTAAACTATAGTATAGGCCAGACTATAGACTAAACTATAGTCCAGACTGTAGACTAAACTATAGTCCAGTCTATAGACTAAACTATAGGCCAGACTATAGACTAAACTATAGGCCAGACTATAGACTAAACTATAGTCCAGACTATAGACTAAACTATAGTCCAGACTATAGACTAAACTATAGGCCAGACTATAGACTAAACTATAGGCCAGACTATAGACTAAACTATAGTCCAGACTATAGACTAAACTATAGTCCAGACTATAGACTAAACTATAGTCCAGACTATAGACTAAACTATAGTCCAGACTATAGACTTAACTATAGTCTAAACTATAGACTTAACTATAGTCTAAACTATAGTCCAGGCTATAGACTGGTCTATAGTCCAGGCTATAGACTGGTCTATAGTCCAGGCTATAGACTGGTCTATAGTCCAGGCTATAGACTGGTCTATAGTTCAGGCTATAGACTGGTCTATAGTCCAGGCTATAGACTGGTCTATAGTCCAGGCTATAGACTGGTCTATAGTCCAGGCTATAGACTAAATTATAGCCCTCACTATAGAATAATCTGTAGTACAGATTTTGAACCAAACTATAGACCAGAACTTGCCAGAAAAACAACAACATGTATTGAAATCTTCGGTACTGGAATGACTTATTGTAAACCTAACGATCATGGGAACGAAAATTATATTTCAGAAATTTAAAATTTGTGTTTCTCAAATAAAAATTAAAAAAAAAAAAAATACTCACAGTGCAATTGAAACATTGGCTATGATAGTTGTGGTTCAAGGCCTCAACCCATCTATCGCCAGCTTCAACGGGGAAACCGCAAGCGAAACATTTAGTGGTGAACAATTCATTCCAATCAGCTTCACAGTAGGGCATACCATCCTCTAGGAAGAAGGGAGTATTGCCGAACAATTTGCCGCAATGACCACAGGCAAAGCATTCAGGATGGAAGTGTTTGCCAATGGCATTCAAACAATCACCCTAAAATTTTACAGGAATAAAACATTAGAAAATGGAAATAACCAAAAAAATAAGGATGCACCAACTTACCTTGATTTTACCAGCACACTTGCTGCAAGTGGGAGCCAAATATTTCTCGAAGCAATATTCACAGTAAAGGTCACCCTTCTCTTCAACGAAGCCAATGTCCTGCAAGGGACGACGGCAGTTGCCATTGACACAGTGGAAGTGTTCGGGACACCAGATCTTACCCAAAGCGGTAATGAAAGGACCCCTAAGTAAATATTACAACAATATTACGTTAGTTTCGGAGCTTTGAAATGATTGAAATTATTAGTTTAAGATATACATATATATACACTTACGAGGTTATTTCAACATTGCACTGACAACATATGGGTTTCTTACCATCCTTAAGCAACTGACTTACTACCTCCTCGTTTTCCGGTGACATGGGTTTATTGGGATCTTCGCCTGGTTTGCCCAAGGCCTTAACACTTATACTAAATACTGGCCCATCTTTGGGTTGTTCATTTTGTGTGTTTGTTTCAATGTACGAACGTCTATCGGTGGCATGACTGGCTCTTCTATTAGAACGATCATTATTACGATATATCACAGTTTCAGAGGGTGGCAAGTTACTACCAATAACCTCGGGCTTGACGGGCACAGCCAAAGGCGATTGGGGTTTTGCCTTATTATCACATAATTCCAAAACTTTTCCCATGGGATGGTTTACGGGCAAATCTGTAGTATGTACTCCTTTTGGTACTTGAGGTTGTGCTTTGTAATCTGGTTTAAGTTCAACATTTTGATGCACCGCAATGACCGGCTTTAGGGCAGCCGGCTGAGAGGGATTAATATCTTTAAAATCATCCAAGTCCAAACGTTTGCGTACCACCATGGGACTTCGTGAAAGATTTGAACTGCTGTTGCTGCGCAAACTCAAAGAACTGCTGCTGTGCGGCGAAGGCATACCGTTACCGTTGTTGGCCAAACGGGCCTCCAACATATTTGATATAACTTTACCGGCTTCGGCCATGAAATTGTCCATTTTATGGCCCATATTTATTTTGCCAATCGATTCGTTCAGCATGGCAGTGGGATCATCGTTGGGTAAGTCAGTCTGCTGTAAGGAGGCATTAGCATTGGCAAAGGAAGCATTGGTTTTTGGCTTAGCATTAGTTTTGCGAGGCAAGGTATCATTTAACATGGATGGTTTTATTAAGGATTCTGGAAAGGCATTAACACAAGAGACAAAGCAAAAAATGAACAACAATTGTTAGTTAAAAACAAAATTAAAGCAAACACTGGAACAAAATTAATTAAAAATTAGGGATAAACAATTAAAGGTATCTTAACTTAATTAAACAAATCAATAATATTTTCTTAGTAAAAATTTGTGGCCAAATATGACCCTCTTAGGGACTGAAAATAAACAAACAGCTGGAAAACAACTTCATGCTCATGCAAATAACTCAAGATCTTTTAACACTTTATTTAGATCTTGTAATCTCAAAAAAAACAAAAAATTAAAAAAAAAAAACATTTAAAACGTTGACAATTTTCCAGAATCTCAGCGTAACGTTTATTCAGTTGTCTAACCTGATGTGGGTGCTGCAGCTATTGCAAGTTGGTACACGTACACCGGAGCTGACGGCCTTGTTCAAAATACCGCGACCACGTTTGGGAGCTGTAGTAGCACCATAAGCACCACCCTTAGGAGCCATTCCACCTGTAGCAGAATCATTATTGGTATTATTAGAAGGTGCTGAAACACTTGGTCTTTTGGAAGCAGATGGTGTTGGTGCGGCGCTTGGTGCTGCAGAAGATTGCGATTGCATATTAGCTGTAATATTAGAAGAAGCTGCAGCTTGTGATGGCTTAGAGCCAGCTGAACCTAAAGAAGCAGTCGGTCGTGAGCCATTATTATTTGATTGTTGCAATTGTTGCTGCTTGCAGCATGTATGACCGGGACGACAGAATGTACCCGTTACTGGGCAAACACCCGAGGGTGCAGTGCCAGTTGCAGATGAAGTAGTGGTAGAAGTAGAAGTAGCATTAAGGTTAGAGCCAGCTGTGATCGATTGATAAGCTTGATTATTAGTACAAGTAGTAGCAGAAGCTTTGGTTAGACTACAGCTAACAGTGTTAGCTTGTTGTTGTTGTTTTTGTTGATGTGAAGATGATGTTGTTGATAATGTAGTTAATGATTTCAGTTGTTGTTGCTGTTGTTGCGATTGTGATTGTGATTGCTGCGAAGAAACCAATGATGCTCCGTACGAAGTTGAAGATGGTTTTTGTTGGGCTGGTGGGAAAATCGTGCAAGCCGGTTCATCCAATTTTTTAGTAGTGGCTCCAGAAACGTAATAGCTCGGTGGCTGAGATTCATCGTGAGAAGGAAGCACTGGCTTTGTGGGGAATTGCGATTGACCGCCCTGACTATGCAGTTCGGGAAATTTCGTTTCCGTCAATGTGGCCGCTCGAGCACTAATGGCCTGTGACTGGCTTGTCAAGTTTGTGATCTCTTGTTCGAGACCTGACAAACGTCTTGCTTGATTGGCCACATAACCAGTTTTTCCATAAGATTGTCTTCTTTCTGTGGAAGAAGATTGTGAACCAGTACGTATCTCCACAGTCTTGGCCGATGAAGTGTGTTCAAATTCTTCAGTGACTTTGCGTCTGCGTTCAATCTGAGTGTTACCCACTTGTGTGGTAGTGTGTGATTGCATTTGACTTTGTTTTTGTTCCTCTAAACGGGAAGCCTTTTCACTCCTTTCCACAGTCATATTGCCGATTTGCATTTTTTCTCTTTTCTCCGGCTCTTGGGTGAAACTTTGCATGGCCGATTGGGTGCCTGTGGCGGTATGTGAGAGCAATCTCTCTTGTTGTTGGGCCTGTTGTGCTCCCAAATAGCTTTGTCCAGTGGTAATAGAGCCAGCTTGTAGCACTCGTGGACTTAATGGAGAGACTTCCGATTCCTTCATGCGAGGAGCTCGTATGGCAGCCAAGGGATTTGGTGGTGGTCCAGGAGCTGGAGATCTAGCGCGATCTGGAAAAGGAGAAGCTGAGCGACGATCGTAATCGCGAGCATGAGTAGCTGGACATTCATCAAAGCATAATTTTTCAGGCGTCTGATAATATGGAGTAATGGGAGCTGGTTTATTTATCATGGAAGGCGTATAAGGCCGCGAGGGTGTTTGAGATTGATCTCTCACCATATGCTCATCTAAAGCTTGAAAAGCCATGGTAACTGGTCCCGAGCGATCTTCAATAATAATTGGTATAGTGGGTTTAGTTAACTGTAGCTGCTGTTTAGCCGAATCGGTAGCGGTTGTAGTGGAGGAACTGACTGTCGAAGACAGCTGCTGCTGCCTTTGTTCAGTTTTAGAACTCATTACAGAGGAACTGTAGGCAGAAGCAGTTGTCTGCTGTTGGTGTGATTGTGATTGCTGTTGACTGACAGAGCGTGCAGACATTTGAGCCACAGGTTTGTGTATATTATTGCCATTGGAGCCATTAGTGGTAGTGGGTGTTTTGGGAGTATCTACAAAAGCCAAAGGAACATTCTCACGTAATTCTGGTGGTTCGGGTGTGCGTACAGGGCTTTGTGTCGGCAGCACTGTCCAATTGCGCTGATATTTTGGTATGGACTCTGGTCTGTGGAGACCCGATGAGGTTTTCTGTTTCAAGTGACTAAGGGGTGAGGGTGGTGGAAATATAACCTCAGAGTGTTCAAGTTCGTCGGTTACTTCTTCGATAACTTCATGTACATCGACTTTGGTGGAGGTAGTTGCGGAACCAGAATAAGCCATTGATTGGGATGATTTGGTAGCTTGTGTTAAGTTCGAAGCATATGTTGATGAGGTAATTTGCTGTTGTTGTTGGACTGCGGAAGAGGATTTAGAGGAAGAAGAGCTAGCTTTGGTAGAGGAATACAATGAGGACTCTTCACGTGTATTAGTCTGTTGTTGTTGTTGATGTTGTTCTTGTAGTTGTGAGGAAGTGTTGGTTTGCTGTTGTTGTAGAAGCTCTTGCTCCTTTTGTGAAAAATAGCTACGTCTTTTCTGATAACGCTCATGAGCATCATAATATTTTCTATATTCGAGATCATTTTCTTCTTTAGTGTAGGAAATGGAGTGGCGAGGTGTCGTTGAAGAGGATAAAGGTTGTGAGGATGGTTGGAATGCTTGCATGGCCGCAAATGCTGATGTTGATGATTTACGTTTTTCTGTGGTATAATACTCCACCTGTTCCAATGCTTCCTTAGACAAACCCAATTCTTCTTCTCTGTCCAAAACCTGAAATTCTTTCTTTTTCTTCTCTTCTTCCTTTTGCTGCTCTTCAAACATGTGTGTAGCATTTTCAGGATCGAGAGGAGTGTAAGGACGTTCGGGCGCTGTGCGTAAGGCGTCCTTCATTGTTAGATGTTCTTTGGGTGTAGGCAAATCGAGAATATGTATGGGAACATCACGATCAAAGTGTCCTTCAAAAGGTTTTTCAGGAGCAGTGGTTAGAGCACGTAATAAGGGAGTTTTTGGGCGATAATCCTCCCGAACATAAGGTTTAACTTCAATGGGTGGAGGCATATAAGGTTCAGTTTCCTCGGGCAAAGGTATGCCCTCAGAGGCAGGTGGAGCAAATTTCAATTGAAACTCTGGAGCAATAGTCATGGCGCTGGTGAGCGTGGGGGTATCCCATATAGTATTTATATGTACTGGCTCTTCGGGTTCTGGTGAAAGTGGTCTTTCGTAAGGTTCTGGTATAGGTTCTTTGGGAGGTTCCTCAGGTATTTCCTGGGCAATTTCTGCCTCAGGATCAACTTGACATGTACATTCGCAGGGTTTGGGACACAAACAACCTACCATATGAAAGGGAGTCTCGGGAGCTGTGGTTAGAACACGTACCATAGGGTTTATCCACTCTTTAGGGCAAGGATTGGGAATTTTGGTGGGAGGAATTTGTTTGACAGGGGCTATTTCGATTTTTATTTCTGGAGTAGGTTGGAAAATACGCTGACTTTCCAGAATATGAGAACGATCATCTTTAATGAAACCTTTCTCTTCAGTTTCTTCCTCATACGAGGATTCATGTGTTTCTGTGGTGTGTTTTTGTTCTTGTTGTTTTTCGTCATCTTCATTACCTTGTTCTTCTTGCTGATGATATGAGTCGACTTCTTTTACTTCGGGATCTTCTAAAAATACCACATGACGTGATCCCTGAGAAGGTTCGGGTACAGGACTGGGAGTTACCTCTCTTACCATATCTACTAGTCTATAGGTGCTTAAGGGAGGCACTAAAGTTTCTATACATTCTTGAGCACTACGACGGCCACTCTCGGAATAATGCGAAGAAGAGAGTTGTAAGTGATCTTGTTGCTGCATAGCGGCCACTTCCATATCCATGTGATAGTCAAATTCAGAACCAGACTGTTCGTAAGCTTGTTGCATTTGATAGGCCTGAACTTGGGCCGCATACATGCGTTGATAGCCATCCGAAGTGGTGGTGGTAGTAGTGCTGGTAGAGGTATAAGAATCGGAACCAGATTCACATTCCTGTTGGGTCACGCCACTGGTCAATTGAGGAGCAGAACGACTTTGCCATTGAGCTTGTTGTTGCTGCTGCTGTTGTTGTTGTTGTTGCTGCTGCTGTTGCTGTTGCTCAGTTTCACCACTACACTGACATTGACCGCAGACTGCAGCTGTATTACCCGGTGGAGGAGGCGGAGGATTTTCTAATGGCTTTGCCACCACGTGCTGTGTTTCAGGTGGAGGTATATACAAAGGAGCTGCTGTAGGAGCACGACTACTATCATCCTCAGCAGGTGGCCAACAAAAGTTCGAACGTTGCTGTCTATTAGTCTGCTCCACCTCATAGTCCTCCTCGAAATAACATTCGGCATATTGCGGTTGCAAGCTTTCCTCATTGGCTTCTATTAAAAGCCATTATTAACCAACCAAGTTTTTAAGGAATTCAATACATCAGCACACCATACGTACGGTTGATTACAAAAGTTACAACAACAGGTTTGATGGAAAATGTTGATAATGGATAATGTGTGTGGGTGTGTGTGTAGGTATGTATGTGTATATAAGTTTGGGTGGTTGATAATTTTATGGGATTTTCGAGTGTTTTGTGGTTAGATTAAGAAGGTTAGTGGTTATTTTTTTTTTTTTTTCGAAGAAAAAGTTTTTAGTTTTAGTTTTTATTTTTTTGGCAAACAAGAGTACATTTTTGTATGTTGGTTTATTTGTTTGTTTGCGTTGTTGTTTTAAGAAAAAGAAGAAAGATAAAAAATGTTGATACATGTTAGATTTGTAGCAAGCAGCAGTGCAGATATTCTATCTAACTATAAACAGCTTAAAGCTTAAAAGGTGTTGTTTGGCCGTATGTTTAGTAAGTGTAATTAGTTGAGTAATCTGAGTGCAACACAAATGGACCCTTTTTTCGAAGTGTTTCTTTTCGTTTATCTACTTTAAGATATGTATGATATGATGTGTAAGCTTTTAAAGATTTTCAATTATTTGGAAATAATTTAAGCAATTTAGTGGAATAAAAAGAATTTTTAGAAAAATTTTTCAAAAATCCAATTAAACAATAATCCCACTGTAAAAATGTTTCATGTTATATACCAATTTTTTATAATAACTCAAGAACAATTCATTTGAAAGTTAATAAAAGTATATTTTTAAAAATTTTCCAATTAAAAATTATAAATCTATTTTCATAATTCTGTGTCATATTGCACACAACCCTCTGAGTTAAAGGAGAGTAATCCTTTAGCTAAGCTTCAAACCAATTTGATTTAAAAAATTGGCTAGACAGACAGACAACACATGCATAAAGACAGTACATAACAAAAACAATATTTATATATATGTATGTGTGAATAAATTTTATAAAGAAAAAAATTAGTAAATTTGAAATTTATTTTCACACCATCCGCTGTACAGGAAAGTGTTCAAAGATAGAAGTTAATAGATAGTTTTGTTATAAATTAAACAAAATTAAAAAAAAAAAATCAAAACTAAAATATTAAAAATGTATACAAACTGGTGGATGAAATATACAGATATTTCCAAAGATATATATTATAGGGATTTTTCAGTTTTCCGATATTCTTTTTTTTATTATAAGAAAACAAAAGATAATTTGCTAAATATTTTAAAACATTAAAAAGTTCTTGACATAATAACACACATTTTGTTTAAGACTATAACTGATTAAAGAATCCTTGTAGTCCTGATATATGTTAACAGGACCAAGTATAACATGTCGCGGGGACTAGATTTTTGGGAAGTTTAATAGTTATAATAACCTGGAAAAGGGAGATGTAGAAAGAAAATAACGGGTTTAGTTTATTTTCACATTATTGAAACAGTTAGTAGAAGAAAATTTTTGAAGCACAGATGTTTAGTAGATGTGGTAGTTGAAAACTTAGGGCCATTACAAAGAAATTTTGTAAAAGATTTATTAAGAATCAAGATTTATTAGAATCAATAACGTACATCTTTTTGGCCAAATTCTAGTTTTCACAATAAATACATTCGACTTTAAACTCCTCAACTAATTAAAGAAATTAAAACAAATCTGTTGAAATTGTTTCTAGAATTGATTTCCTTTGTCTCATTGCAAACTATAGCAATTTATACAATACTGTACACATTTTTATTTCAATAATAAGTATTGTAAAACGGATTTCCTTTTCTTATATACATATTGTCAAATGGAGATATGTATCTTCAAAAAAAGAAGGCAGAGACTTTTCTAAAGAACAATCATTGAATTCGTAATAATACAGTCCTTTTCATCATATGTATAAAATATTTCCAGCAATGACTGTCACTTGTATTCTGATTAACATTTTTAACAATAAGAGAATTGTTGTAGTCGAAAAGTACAAATACATAAATATGTATGCCGTATGCCTACAAATTGCTATTTTATTCCGGCCAAATTATAACCCAGCAAACAACTTTATTAGCAAAACATATAATAAGAAACATTTTTTTTGCACATATTCAATAGCAAATAGTTTTGAAGAATAAGGAAGTCTTGACTATAGATCACCACTTAGTCTCGACTATAGATCAGTCTATAGTCGAGACTATAGATCACACTGTAGTATTGACTATGGATCAAATTTGGTTTTGAAGAATAGGGAAGTCTTAACTATAGATCCCTCTTAGTCTTGACTATAGATCAGTTTATAGTCGAGACTATAGATCACTCTATAGTATTGACTACGAATCAAGTTTTGTTTTGAAGAATAAGGAAGTCATGACTATAAACCACCCCTTAGTCTTGACTATAGATCAGACTATAGTCGAGACTATAGATCACTCTATAGTCGAGACTATAGATCACTCCATAGTCTTGACTATGGATCAGTCTACAATCTTAACTATGGCTCAGTCTATCATTCTATAGTCTTGAATATAGATCATTCTATAGTCTTGACTATAGATCATTCTATAGTCTTGACTATAGATCATTCTATAGTCTTGACTATAGATCATTCTATAGTCTTGACTATAGATCATTCTCTAGTCTTGACTATAGATCAGTCTATAATCTTGACTATAGATCAGTATATAGTTTTGACTATAGATCAGTCTATAGTCTTGACTATAGATCAGTTTATAGTCTTGACTATAGATCACTCTATAGTCGAGACTATTGATGACTCTATTGTCTTGATTATAGATCACTCTATAGCCTTGATCATAGATTACTCTATAGCCTTGATCATATATCAGTCTATAGTCTTGACTATAGATCATTCTAAAGTCTTGACTATAGATCAGTCTATAATCTTGACTATAGATCACTCTACAGTCGAGACTATCGATAACTCTATTGTCTTGATTATAGATCACTATATAGCCTTGATCATAGATCACTCTATAGTCTTGAATATATATCACTCTAGCCTTGATCATAGATCACTCTATAGTCTTGACTATAGATCACTCTATAGACTTGACTATAGATCACTCTATAGTCGAGGCTATTGACCACTCTATAGTCTTGACTATACATCAGTTTATAGTATTGACAACAGATCAGTAAGACTATCGTCCTGACTATAGGTAAGTCTATAGTCTTGTCTATAGATCACTCTATAGTATTGACTATAGTTCATTCTATAGTATTGACTATAGATCAGTCTACAGTCTTGACCATAGATCATTCCCTAGTCGTTACTATAGATCAGTCTAGACTATTGTCCTGTCTATAATCCTCACAATGGCGTAGGGTACAAACAAAAGTAAAACGTGTAACAAATTTTATCGAATTATGTTCAAAATTGTCCCCTACCTTATATAGGGGGTAGGATCAATAATGGACTGAACCTCACAAAAGTTTGTAGAGAGGTTTTAACTCATTCCAAAACTTGTTTATGTCGAATTTCATCGCTGTACTCACATTTCTGAGCCAGTAATGAGCGTTAAAGACATTTTCTGAAGTGGACCTTATATGGGGGATATGGTCAATTATGGACCGATCCTCATAAAATTTGTTTAAGAGATTTACGTTCCCATAAGACTTATTTATGTAGAATTTCATTGTTATACTGGTATTTTTAAACCAGTTATAACTGTTAAAACTGTTTTCCGAAGAGACACTTGTATGGAGGCTATGCGAAAACATGGACCGATTTTGACTATCTATTGAATACCAAACAAATCTTATCAATAGAGAATATCCCTATCGTGATTTTAACAGACAGACGGACGGACATGGCTAGATCTCTAATAAGGACCCAGAATATATACATATACTTTTATGGGTCTTAGACGAATATTTTGATGTGTTCAAACGGAATGACAAAAACAAAAACATTCACTGGGTTATTGATACATTTGAGCACATATTGATATCATATTGTACATATTACAAAAATAACAGATAAAGTTTCGCCAATATCATACTCATACATACATACGTATGTACATATGTATGTATAATACCTCTCATGTCCTTTCATACTATAATAAACAAATGTCTCATGTATTTTCTTTTGATACATACATATTTTCATAATTTGTTTATGGTAATAAGCTTTTATTATTATAATACACAATACATATATTGCAATAAAAGAAAAACAGGAAAAATATTTACGAATATAAAGCACTTTTTCCAATAACTTCGAGTTATACTTATTGAAAGGAAATAAAAACATAAAAAAAGATAGAAATACTTTGTTGCTGGTTAATTTTCTTTGTTATTATCTATAGAAACATCCCTAAACAGTGAAGGATAAAACAGACAAAAGCATTTAAAACTTTCTAGAAAACATTTTGCAAATTTAATTTTATTCTTGAATTGTTTCTCACTGTAAGGTCTAACTATGTTTATTCATATTTTCTATATGATTGAAAGGATCTTACATAAAAATACATACATACACATGTACATATGTATGTGTATGTATATTTCAGTATAACTATACATATTCTTTGTAATTTCTTACTGTTGTCCTGATATTTATGATTATTGCTTTTAACACAATACTTTACATACATACAAAGATATATAATTTTACATATACATACGTTCGATATGTATATATAAAAATTTACAGGAATTTCCGCTTTTATTTACAGATAAATACGGATGGAATCATAAAAGAAGTAAGAAAAACAACATGAAAACCATGTCTACTCTATAAGTTGTTTTTTATGACTAACAATTCGTAAAGGAAACTTACATTTATGTTATAAAAGTGTGTATGTGTGAACCATCTAAAGCAGGGCCGTAAAATAATCTAGCTTAAAAAGGTGTAAATTATTTCGTTTAACAGTTGTTATGAAAAACCCAAAGTTTTATTTAAAAAATTAACTTTTTCGTTTAACCCCTTTTAAGGCTACGCCCTTTATTTAGGGAAACATCATGTCGGCTAGTAAAAATATTATTGAAATTTATCAAGTTTCATATGTTAATAAACAAATGAAGAAAACAACAAAATAAAAATTATTACAATATAAATACACATACAATTATTGTTGTTGTTATGTACGTACTTACACTCTATGTATATAAAAATATCTATGTAAATTAGGATGGATCCGAAAAATGTAAAAGCTTACAGCCGAACGGCTCTTTACTTTAGGCGAACTGGCCAAAAGCGGTTATAGGACACGTCATCAATGTATTCTGGACACATTGGAAGGTTATAAACAATCATCGGACTTGCCTGATCGTATACCAGACACAGAATATGTCGGAAACTTTGAAACGCTGATCCTAGATAGAATGTCTTGGTCAAGCGGAACATTATTACAAATACCAGTAGGAATCCGTTATTACACGGATGGTTCTAAATTTTGTGACAAAGTGGGGCTGGGGTTCTATATTGAAGACCCAGAAACAAAAATATATCACCGTTTACCAAATCATAACACAAGCTTCTAGGCAGAAGTACGAGCAATAACGGAATGCGTAAATTGGATTAGAATAAATATGGCGCCCACAGCTCTTAATATATTTACCGACAGCCAGAAGGCAATTAGGGCAATATCAGGCGATAGAACTAAATCTAAGACAGTATTGGATTATAAGAAAACTTTAACTGAATACTCTCCCAGAGGTAAGGTTCACATCATATGGTTACCAGCCCATTCGGGAGTAGTCGGTAACGAAAGATCGACTGTAATAGCTTTAAAGAGAAGGCAGCTCGAGGCAGTTAACCTGACAAACGCAAAACCATTCGACGCAACAAAAGCTGAACTAAAAATATGGGCGAGAGAATCCCATAAGGCCTCTTGGAATAAAGAAACAGTGGGTAGAACCACGAAGATCCTATGTGGTGACCCTGATGAGAGCAAGACGAAAAATCTCGTCAAAATGGGCAAGTCTGAAGTTAGTATGATGGTACGTATTCTGAGTGGATACACAGGATTACGAGCACATCTCTGCAAAATTGGACGTGCGGATTGAGATGAATGTAGAGCATGTGGAGAGGACAGTGAAAGTCTGGAGCACTTTCTTTGCCACTGACAGGCATTCGTCGAAATTAGGTCCAAGTATCTTGGAAGTGATGTTATTCCGGAAATAACATTCCTGACAACACAACAGGCCCGATAGTGGCCTCCTATCAACCACCTACCTATATTACAGTGAAAATTAAACATTTAAAAGTTAAAATTTACGTTATTTTGAAAAATTTACATTTGAGTGTAAAATTTACATTTGAGTGTAAAATTTACAATTTAGTGTACAAATTACATTTTAGTGTAAAATTTACCTTTAAGTGCCAAATTTACTTTTTATTGTAAAATGTTCATTGTAAAGTAAAATTACATTTTAGTGTAAATTTACAATTTAGTGTAAAATTTACATTTTAGTGTAAAATTTACAATTTAGTGTAAAATTTACAATTTAGTGTAAAATTTACATTTTAGTGTCAAAGTTCATTGTAAAGTAAAATTACATTTTAGTGTAAATTTACAATTTAGTGTAAAATTTACATTTTAGTGTAAAATTTACATTTTAGTGTAAGATTTACATTTTAGTGTAAAATTTACATTTTGGTGTAATATTTACTTTACAGTTTCAAATTTACATTTTAGTGTAATATTTACTTTATAGTGTCAAATTTACATTTTAGTGTAAAATCTACTTTTAGTGCAAAATTTACTTTTTATTGTAAAAGTTACATTTATAAGAAAAGTTTACAAAAGTTTACATTTTAGTGTAAAATTTATAATTTAGTGTAAAATTAACATTTTGGTGTAAAATTTACATTTTATTGTAAAATTTACATTTTAGTAAAATTTACATTTTAGTGTAAAATTTACATTTTAGTGTCAAAGTTACATTTTGGTGTAAAATTTACATTTTATCTTAAAATTTATATTTTAGTGTAAAATTTATAATTTAGTGTAAAATTAACATTTTGGAGTATAATTTACATTTAGTGTAAAAATTACATTTTTATGTAAACTTAGCAATTTTAAGCAAAAATTTACATTTGTATATTAAAGTTTTCATTTTAGTGTAAAATTTACACTTTATTGTAAAATTTACATTTGTAAGATTTACATTTTGGTGTAAAATTGTTATTTTGGTGTAAAATTTAGTCTAAAATTTCAAATAAGCTTTAATATTGCCTAAGAGAGTCAAACTATTTTTCCATAAAAATGGATCCTTGTAATATATTTATAAGCTTTTACACATACACATACATAAATATTTAACATATTGCTGTTTTCAGTTTCCGTTTCCTGTCTGGCAAATATGTACGTATTATTTCTTTATTTTTTCACTTTGTTATTATTGTCGATTGTTGTTAAATGTTGAGTACGTATGTATGTATATATGTATGTATGTTGAGATATAGAGACCACGAGTATATGTTTGAGTATGTAAATTATTTATGATTGTGTGTATTTTTACTCATCCATCCATCCATACAAACATAAATATTTTCATAAGAAATTATATGTCTGCGTATAAAACCGATCAATACAAATAAAGTAATTTCAGATACTCTAAAGAGAAGAATTGTTTTATGAAAATGTTTAAAACAAAAATAACATATTTAAGTTGACAAAAGAAAAAATTTTTAAATTTAGCATGTGTTGGTTCGTTCTTTCCACTTAAATGCTTTAAATTATTTCCAAAATTGTTGTTTTATTTTCCATTTTTTTTTTTTTTGTAAATCTAGGTTAATAGTTTTATAGTAAAAACTTTTAAAACTACAAAAGCTGTGATGTTTGTATTTATAATTAAATGAAAGAAAAGCTTCAATTGCAAAACTTAAATTTTCATTGAAAAAAAAAACTCAAACTCATTTAGTTTTTCTTGCAGTGTGTATGCTGCAGTAGAAATTAACAACTTTCATTTTCTTAACATTTCGTTGAGAGAGAGATTTCATTTTTACCTTGATTGCTGTAGTAATTACTGTAGTTGTTATAGGAAGTTGTATTTAAGGAAGAAGGCATAGTCGAGTACCTATTGGATCCACCGACAACACTGGGATATTTTTTATTGTATTGTGTAGATGTGGTATAATTGCTGCTATAATTGTTGTGATAACTGTTGTACATAGACTGGGGTTTACGACCTTTTGTTGTTGTTTGTGTTACATTTACAAAAAAGTGTAAGTGATTTTGTTTTGATATAATAAGAAATATAAGTTGACATTATGTCTAAATATTTTGGGTTAAATTTTTAATTTTTAGAGAAAATCAAACTAGAAGCTGGGCCAAATGTGTTTTCAAGTATTATTTTGTTTTTTGGGGGAGTTGGTTAGAGTTAGTGAATTTTGTGGTTTTGCTTATTTAAAAAAGGCAATTTCTTTAAAATTTGGGTTAAAATAATTTAGATTTAAGCATAAATTTGTTTTATTTTTATTATTAATAATTATAATTTTCTTTAAATATTATTAACAAAATATATATATATATTTATCACATCAATATATAGTCACAACAATATTGAGGTATATTTTTTAATATGTTTTGCTATTCTTTTTTTGTCCGATTTGAGCTTTTAAACCCAATCGCCTTGATTTTGTAAATAATCTATAACTTCTTTGTGAAGCTGTTCATTAATCTTACCTTGTTGGCCAACATTGCTGCGTGGCAAAGTTGCGTAGGCATTACCACCAGTTGGCTTGGGTTGAGTTGGTGGTGGTTGATTCCATTGTTGTTGTTGTGGTGGATAAGAGACAGGCGACTTGGGAGCAGCAGCTGGTGGAGCAGCACCATAAGGACGAGCATAACCTCCCTGGTTAACCTGTAAACGGAAATGTTTGGCATTAGAAGGGACTTTTGTTTTTTGGTTTCCATTTTTGTATCTAAAATATGAGTAGTATTTTGTGGAAAACTTAACTTTTTACACTTTTACACTAATGTTTTTTACATTTTAGTGGAAAAATATAAATTTTAGTGTAAAATTTACATTTTTGTATAATTTTTCAAAATTACAACTTAGTTTAAATTTTAAGCTCAAAAATTTGTAGTTTACACTAAAAGTTTTACATATTAATGTAAAATTTGTTTAAGTACAAAGTGTGTAAAATTTAAATATTAAACGATTTAGCATAACATTTACATTTTAGTATAAAGTTTACATACTAATGTAAAATTTATATTTTAATACAAAACTTACATTTTAGTGTAAAATTTACACAGTAATGTAAAATTTTACTGTGAAATTTAAAATTTTCATGTAAACGTTACATTTTGGTTTAAAATCTAACTGATGGAGTAAAATTTACATTTTAGTGTAAAATTCACATTTAAGTGTAAAGTTTCTATTTCAGTTTAAAATTTACATTTTAGCGTAAAATTTACATTTTAGTGTAAAATTTACATTTTAGTGTAAAATTTACATTTTAGTGTAAAATTTACATTTTTGTGTAAAATTTACATTTAAGTGTAAAATTTACCTTTTTGTGTAAAATTTACATTTTAGTGTAATATTTACATTTTAGTGTAAAATTTACATTTTAGTGTATAGTTTACATTTTAGGGAAACTAACCCTTTAATGTAAAATTTACATTATAGTGTAAAATTTACATTTTAGTGTAAAATTTATATTTTAGTGTAAAATTTACACTGAATTGTAAGATTTGCATTCTGGGGTAAAACTAAACTTTATTGTAAAATTAACATTTTAGTGTAAACCTAAGACTTTAGTGTAAAATTTATATCTTAGTGTAAAATGTACATTTTAATGTAAATGTGCATTTTAGTGTAAATGTACATTTTAGTGTAAATGTACATTTTAGTGTAAAACTAACACTTTATTGTAAAATTTACATATTAGTGTAAAACTAACATTTTAGTGTAAATGTACATTTTAGTGTAAAATGTGTGTAAATGTACATTTAAGTGTAAAATTTAAATTTTTGTATAAGATCTACATTTTAGTGTAAAATTTACATTTTTGTGAAAAATTTACACTTTAGTGTAAAATATACATTTTAGTGTAAAATATACATTTAAGTGTAAAATTTACATTTTAGTATAAAATTTACATTTTAATGTAAAATTTACATTTGTAAAATTTAAATCTTAAAGTTAAATTTTTTATTTTGTGTAATAATTACATTCCTGTGTAAAAATTACATTTCAGTGTAAAATTCACATTTTAGTGTAAAATTTTCATTTTAGTGTAAAAATTACATTTCAGCGTAAAATTTATATTTTAGTGTAAAATTTACAGTTTAGTGTAAAATTTACATTTCAGTGTAATATTTATATTTCAGTGTAAAATTTACATTTATGAGTAAAATTTAAAGTTTGTTAAATCGTACATTTTAAACAAAAGAATGACATTTTAGTGTCTGTCAATAGCCTTAACTCTACTTCAGTCTTTAGTCTGGGCTATAGTTTAGTCTATAGTATGGACTATTGTTTAGTGTATAGTCTGGACTATAGTTTAGTCTGTAGTCTGGACTATAGTTTAGTTTGTAGTCTGGACTATAGTTTAGTCTATAGTCTGGACTATAGTTTAGTCTATAGTCTGGACTATAGTCTATAGTCTGGACTATAGTTTAGTCTATAGTTTGGACTATAGTTAAGCTATAGTCTGGACTATAGTTTAGTCTATAGTCTGGGCTATGGTTTAATCTATAGGCTGGACTATAGTTTAGTCTACAGTCTGGACTATAGTTGAGTATAAAGTCTGGACTATAGCTTAGACTATAGTCCGGGCTATAGCTTAGTCTATAGTCTGGCCTATAGTTAAGTATATTGTCTGGACTATATTTTAGTCTATAGTCTGGATAATATTTCTGTCTATAGTCTGGACTCTAGTTTAGTCTGTAGTTTGGACTATAGTTTAGTCTACAGTCTGGACTATAGTTTAGTCTATAGTCTGGATTATATTTCTGTCTATAGTCTGTACTCTAGTTTAGTCTATAGTCTGGGCTATAGTTTAGTCTATAGGTTGAATTATAGTTTAGTCTACAGTCTGGACTGTAGTTTAGTCTATAGTCTGGACGATAGTTTACTCTATAGTCTGAACTATAGTTTAGTCTATAGTCTAGACTATAGTTTAGTCTATAGTCCTTGCTATAGTATAGTCCATGGTCTGAATTCTATTCTAGTCTAATCTCTACCAGTCTGCACTATAGTCTAGCTTTAAACTATATGTTTTTTTATTATTTCGCTGTAAAATGTTCATTAAATTAATGAAAAATTTACATTCGATGAATGTAATGTAAACAAACAGTTTCTGTGTAAACTTTACATTTCCACAATAAATTACTACTCATATTTTCTCAAAAATAAATTTAAGCTCAAATTCCGCTAAACATTCTCTCGTTTCCAAAAGGAAACACAAATGTTTAGCAACATATTAACTTGTATCTAAACAATAAACAAACAAATGATTGCAACATGCTTTAGCAAAGCAATAACTAACATGCAATTTACTATGTGCTACAGTTGGTGGAAAAAAAAAAGATAACTTTGAAATTCCAAAGTTAAAGATGGTTTTGCTAGTGGGGCGCGTAGCTTGATACCACTTACCTTGTAATTAACATTACCCTTACCGGGTGGCACAACACTACGTATAACATTACCGGTTAATGTAACATATTCAAATGGTTTGTCACCACTTGGCCCCGTGGCCGTAGTCGCGGACATTTCGTTAGTTGTGGTGTTGCAGTTGTCGTTGATTATTTGACTGTTGCTACTATTATTAAAAGGACTCTTATCTACAAATGATAAATTGCTACTAGAAGGTGTGGTTGTTGTTGTTGTTGCTGTTGGTAGAGGTGGTGCAACCTGACATGAATCAAATTTCAATTGATTATTTAGTGTTGCTGTGATGGCAGCAACACTGGGTAAACTGTTATTAATAATGTTGCTGTTGTTGTTGCTAATATTATTGTTATTATTGTTAGTTTGTTGTTGCTGTTGCTGGAGATAATGATTATGTTGCTGTTGTGTTTGTTTGGAATTGGAGTTTGTATTTTGATTAGCAATGAAGGGTTTGGGGGAACCATTATTTATAAATGAATGAATGTTGTTGCTTATATTATCGGAATGTTTCATAGTGTTGGTAGTGGAATGGGAATTGTTGTTGTTATTGTTACCCTGGGTCAACAACTTATTGGAATACTCTTTTAAAAACTTATTATACACTTTTTGTGTGGTGGGCACAATGGGCGTTGTTGTTGTTGTTGCAGCTGCAGCCCCTCCACCTACAGGAGTTGCTGTTGCTGGCGTTAATGATGACACATTAGTTTTATTGTACGTATTCATATCGTTCTCATTTTGTTTTGTCATCAACAATTTTCTATTGTTTGCATTGTGCAGCTGTTTCATTTTATTTATATACAAATCCTGATTATTGTCCTCTGGCAGTGGTGGTGGCGGTGGTGGTGGTATTGCTATTGTTGTTACGTTGCCATTATTATCATTATTACAGCCATAATTTAGCGAAGACGATGATGAAGAGGCCTGACGCGAGTGTAGGGGTGAGGTGGAACCATACTGATCCAATGACAAACTAGAATGACTCGATTCATTTTGTGTTGGATAGTAGGTCATTTGTTGTTGTTGTTGCTGCTGTTGTTGCTGCACCATTGTGTTATTGTGATGATAATTGTAGGGTGTTGGTGACAGGGATTGTGTAGAGGAATGTGTTGTATTCGAACCAGTTGACATTGATGACAGGCTACTTAATGTACGTGTATGTTGATTGTCATTATTGTTATTATTAATATTATTGTTGTTGTATATTTCAAATTGTTGTAGTTGTGTGGGTGATGGTGGTGGTGGCAATGGTAAATCGTTCATATTTTCTTCTTGCTTCAGATTTGGTATTTGTTGTTGTGGAGTATTTTTTGGATTTTTTTGGTTTAGCAATTGTGGTTAATTAGTTAGCAGTGCCAGGCAAGCGATTTATGGCAAAAGCATTAAAACAAATTAAATAATAAACAAATTTAGTACAAATTAAAAACATCAATTAAATAATATATGATTTTGAAATGTGTGTTTAGATTAAGAGGAAGAAATATTTTTTATAAATTTTCAATTTAGATGAAGACTTCTGAATTAAAAATACTGCTACAATTCAAAATCGACCAGATTTAGGAAAATCTTAGTTGATTTTGGTAAACAGTTTCTATACTTTTTGAAATAATTTAAATATATTGTTAGCAACATGTTGCTTAAACATTTTGTATAACCAATTTATTATTCTACAATTTAATTTAAAATTTCACATTATCACTGTCTTTTCTAGCATTTTTTAATACATATTTTTCTTAGCAACATCTTGCAGCAACATGGTGTATGTTGCTAGTACACTTTAAATAACTAAATTTTATATATTTAACAACATTTTTTCCAATTTTAAATTTATTTTTATTTTCTTAAAGTATTTTTAGTTTTCAGAACAAGTTATGTATAAATTTTTTTCTTGAAATGTTGCTCTGAAATTACACTTAACCTAAATTTGTTATTTTTAGGATATTTAATTATTTTTATTTGATTTGCACAGAGTTGCTAAATTTAGTAATAGGTCAAGGTCATTTTGAAAAATTTTATTAAATTTTTATTTATTAAAAAAAGTTTTAAAAAATTTTTTCCTTTTCACACACACAATAAAGATTTCAATATTACTCTAACAAGGAGTTAAGGATTTCTCTTGTGATATATTTTTAAATGTATTATGTAATGTGTAATAAGTAGGTTTAAATGATCTTATACTTTTAGATTCCAAAAAGGTTTAATTCAATATTTGTTTTATATTTTTATTTCAACACCACTTTAATATTTTTTCAAATAAAATATTCGAGTTTTAAGAAAAAAGTCGTATAAAAAATAATATTCAAAAAATAAAAAAATTATTAAAAAAATATATAAATCCGTTTCTTTGTCTTAACGAACACCAACCGAACTGTATACGTTGACTATAAAGAAACTAAGAAATCACACTAAATTAACGAAATTATCAAGTGGCAACATTAAGTTCGACATACTCATTCACTCAGACATGTTGTACGTGCAAACGATGTCTGTTAGTCCGTCCGTCTGTCTGTTTATATATACATACATAAATATCTACACATACTCAAGCAAAGATAAGTAACGAAGTGAGTAAGTGGTATGAACGATCCAACCTACTTGATCAATTAGTAACCCTACGGGTATTATCAAAATTACCATAGGTTTGAAAGTTGGCTTCAAACTTTAAAATAATTTAAACATTTTTTGTTTACATTCAATAAATTTTATCAATCGAACCTCTTTCAATGCATATACAAACATATTTTGGTCACTGAGTCATGCTTTTAATACTTGGAATCCCAGAAAATTTTTTTAAAACCCCTAATTGTTATTGTAGGGCATATACAAGTTTTATAAATTGTTTAATATTATGTGCTGTTTTATAAAACAGCTGTCCATAGAAAATACTTTTTTTTTGTAATTTTTTGTCAACAGTTGTAGCAAAAAAATCGAAAAAAATCAATTAAATTTTCTAAATAAATAAAAATAAAATCAAAATCTCATGGCGTGTAGCATGAGTTGTTTGTATAAATACCTACACACCTTAAGTTTAAATTTACTTTGTTTTTTTTTTCTTTATTTATTTTCAGAAGTGCAAAAAAGAAAAAACGATTGATAAAAAATCAGTGCAAATTTTTGCTAAATTTAGAAATGCATACTTTGTGAATGAGTAAAAGTAAAATGAATATAATTTGAAGAAAAATAATTGAAATATATTTACATAGTATAAAATGATCAATAAGATTTTAGAAGTCGGTACAGTCTAAATAGGTAAATTTAATTAACACTACCTACGATTTTGCAATTATCTAGAGTCCTTTCTTGCTAAGTATTAATACAATAAATGTATAAAGCAACAATGTTGCAACACATTTAACACTTTCATCAGCATTGAAATTTTCATGAGTCAGATTTTAAGAGTCAAAGGTAATGAATAATGAATTTTCAGTTGAAAACATTTTTAACAACTTTTCCGTTCTGGTTAATTTCTAGTTCAACTCTAGTGCAGTTCTAGTTCAATTCTAGTTCAGTTCTAGTTCAGTTCTTGTTCAGTTCTAGTTCAGTTCTATTTCAGTTCTAGTTCAGTTCTAGTTCTAGTTCAGTTCTAGTTCAGTTCTAGTTCAGTTCTAGTTCAGTTCTAGTTCAGTTCTAGTTCAGTTCTAGTTCAGTTCTAGTTCAGTTCTAGTTCAGTTCTAGTTCAGTTCTAGTTCAGTTCTAGTTCAGTTCTAGTTCAGTTCTAGTTCAGTTCTAGTTCAGTTCTAGTTCAGTTCTAGTTCAGTTCTAGTTCATTTCTAGTTCAGTTCTAGTTCAGTTCTAGTTCAGTTCTAGTTCAGTTCTAGTTCAGTTCTAGTTCAGTTCTAGTTCAGTTCTAGTTCAGTTCTAGTTCAGTTCTAGTTCAGTTCTAGTTCAGTTCTAGTTCAGTTCTAGTTCAGTTCTAGTTCAGTTCTAGTTCAGTTCTAGTTCAGTTCTAGTTCAGTTCTAGTTCAGTTCTAGTTCAGTTCTAGTTCAGTTCTAGTTCAGTTCTAGTTCAGTTCTACTTCAGTTCTGGTTCTAGTTCAGTTCTAGTTCAGTTCTAGTTCAATTCTAGTTCAGTTCTAGTTCAGTTCTAGTTCAGTTCTAGTTCAGTTCTAGTTCAGTTCTAGTTCTAGTTCAGTTCTAGTTCTAGTTCAGTTCTAGTTTAGTTCTAGTTCAGTTCTAGTTCAGTTCTAGTTCAGTTTTAGTTCAGTTCTAGTTCAGTTCTAGTTCAGTTCTAGTTCAGTCCTAGTTCAGCTCTAGTTCAGCTCTAGTTCAGTTTTAGTTCAATTCCAATATTTATTAAGCATTAAATAAGTTGCATTGGCTAATGTAGCGCAACATTGACAAGGTTAATTAAAATTATTTTAAATTTATAAATCAAATCAACTACACACCTACAATTTTGGCATTCTTTACAAGAATTTAAATGTACCAGGAAATGCAAATACCATTACTTTATTAATGTTGCAGTTTATAAACAGAATACCTACATACATACATACATACATATACTTGTCAATGTATGTATAAAAATTGAAAATGTTATTCTACAAAAATAGTTGAGAATTGCGAATACAAAGTTAGCCATTGTTGTAGAACAAATAACGGAGTAAATATACTTTATATTTTATAAAAGTATATAGAAGTAGGAAGTAAATGTTTACAATTTAACAATTTAATTTTGTTAGGTCTAAAGTTAAATTATTTTTTTTGTTTTAATTGTTTAACAAAAAGTTATCAGTAAAATTATCAGTAAGAGTATGTAAACATTGACCAATCAATAAAAATAAATCAACAGAAAAAAATGCGTAATATATTGAAACCAATTATTAAAAATGTTTTTTTTCTTTTTTTTGTAAGTAAAAATTTAACAAGCAGTTTGGTTTTGTTATAAACATTATGAATCATAGTAGGTATGTAAGATGTTTAAAATGTTCCATTGAATAAAATGTTGCTAGCAACATGTTTAGTTAAATATGTCTGTGGTCAGAGTGACGGTTATAGCTAACTGGTTTCAGAAAATGATTTAATTATTTGTTATCTTTTGTGATGGTTGCTGAAACAATAGTGTTTGTAGGACATAATCATGTGCTAATAAATACAAATTCAAGCAACATGTTGCAGAGTTACTAAACAATTTGTAACAGATTTTAAAAGAAAAAATTTTTTTAAAAATCTTTATTAAACTAAACACACATTTCAAACTTAAAGAAAAATTTTAATAAAAAATCGCATAATGATAACTTATTTTAACAAAAAATATAACAACAAAGCCAAAAGTAAAAAAAATTATAATCAAAATCAACACTAAAGTTAATTTATGTATTATTCAAATTGTATATTCTTACTCATCAGCGTCATCAACATCTCATATCACAAACAAAAACACACAGTTAAATATTTTACTTGAATTTTTTCTACTTTTCTTTTTTTTTTCAAAACACTTGTAAAAAAACTCATACGATATGAAATTAAATAAAAAATCAGCAAAAAAATTAAGAAATAACGAAAAAAAGCTTTTAGCCAAACGCAAACAGATTTTTGCATTATTTACAAGCAGTGTCAAAAAACAGCTTAAGTGGCAAAACGATTAACTCCATATTGCAAAATGGAACATTTTTATAATAAACAATTAAGTATACCAACTATGTATAACTATATTTGTATTTTCAAATATTTTTAAATAAAAAATTGGAGTTAATCGTTTTGCCATAAGAAGTTTTTATATATTTCTTTTCGTTTTTATACCCTACACCACTTCAGTGGGTGTCCGTCTGTCCGTCCGTTCATGTAAACCTTGTAATCAAACTACAGGTCGCAATTTTGAAGATAATTCAATGAAATTTGGTACATGATCTTCTATTGTCCCAGGGACGAAGCCTATTGAAAATGGTTAAGATCTTTCCATTATTTCACCTAGCCCCCATACAACTGAACCCCCCAATAGGGCTTGTAAACCTTGTAATCAAACTACAAGTCGCAATTTTGGAGATAATTCAATGAAATTTGGCACATGATCTTTTATAGTACCGTAGACGAAGCCTATTGAAAATGGTTAACATCGGTCCATTATTTCACCTAGCCCCCATACAACTGAACCCCCGAATAGGGCTTTTAAACTTTGTAATCAAACTACAGGTCGCAATTTCGGAGATAATTCAATGAAATTTGGCACATGATCTTTTATGGTACCGTGAACGAAGCCTGTTGAAAATGGTTTACATCGGTGCATTATTTCACCTAGCCCCCATACAACTGAACCCGCCGAATAGGGCTTTTAAGTTCATAATTATGTTTAATATACTCATATCTCGAAAAAAAGCTGCAAAAACCAAGTTCTATACAAGATTTGATGACCCTCACGAATTCCATAATAATAGGTCCTCATATGATCCTAGCCCCTGTGAAAAGCCCCCATCAAAATTTCACTTAAATGTCCACAATTTTATTTAACAATAAACGGCTTAAGTATGTATATCTGAGGCAAGGTACAATTCAATTTAAATGCTTTATTATGGCAAATAAATCACATTATATTTTTGTCAAAGGTGTAGGGTATTATATGGTCGGCCTCGCCCGACTATAATTTCTTACTTGTTTTTAAATGCAAAATTGTTATTTCTATATGTGTTTGTTGTAAAGAGGGAGAAAAAAAAGTTTGCTGTTTTTGTTTGTTTGTTCCCCTGGTATTTGTTTTGAAATTCTCTACCCTGTGTATTTGTTTGTTTGTATTTTATATATGGATTTGCATTCTGTTGCATATGTATTTCATTTTTGTTTTGCCTTCATACGTTATTTTTAACATAATATTTGTTGCTGTTGTTGCACTTTTGTTTTTTGTGGCTCTATATAACATTGTTACAACAATGCAACATATTCTGCTGATTTAGCAACATTCTCTAAAAGCACATATAATATATTACAATGTATATACACTGCAGTGGTGCGCACAAAGAGAATAAAATCTAAAAAACTAGCTTTTAATGGTTATTTATTAGATTTCTTGTTATTTACAGATAAATAGCTAAATTTTCTCAAACACTCCCTATTAGCTTGGTATGCCAACCACTGATTTTTTATATATACTAAAGGCAATACAAAGCCATTGTTGGTTTCATTTCGCTCGCTCCTTAAAGTCCAACATGTGTTGCTGTTGCAGCTGTTTTTTTTTAAACACGCAGTTATAAAAATGCTTTAAGTGTTATTCTTTAGTGGCCATACAAGTGTTTTTTTAGTTTTCCTTGTGTTTAAGAAAGCTTGGCGCTACACATTGGATGGGTGTTGGTGTGGTTAAAGCATTTGTCACAATTGTTAAGATGAGATTGTGTGGGAAATGTTAAGGATGACTTAACTGTCTTAACATACTTTTCTTTAGACCCGAGGAAGTTCATATCCCACAACAATAGGATTTTTTAGCGGAATGATCCGAGTTATATTCGACCAAAGATTGACAACTTAGCGATAGCTATATAAACTGATTTGTTTATGTTTTAGAACTATATATAGTCTTAGAAATCTAAATAACGTCCGTAGGACTCCAGAAATGAGAGATTTAATTAATCCATAAAACTAACGAACTGGAGTAGGGTTTAGCAAGAAGGTTCTGTATCGAAGGTACAGGCTCTGATTTCAAACTGTACGTACTTAACTGTGAACGGCCAAAGATTGACAGCTGTAACAACTGATTTTCATATACAATCTATAAATTTGAACTATATCCAGAGGAATGGACAGACAAATCTAATCGAAATAACATCCGTAGGACTCGAGATATGAGAGGCCCAGAAAATGGAATAATTCTATCGATTTACTCTATAAAACCACTGAAGTAGGGCTTAGCAAGAAAGTTTAGTATCGAAGGTATCATGAAGGCTCTGATTTCTAACTGTACGACGTACTTAACTAGGAACGGAATGGTTTTTGCTGATACAAGCGGAATTAAACTATCTATCACAACATATTATCAACCTTCAGCAATTCATGGAACGTAGATCCAACAAGTCTATTGTGGTCTCAACGTATCGCAGATGTGATTGCGAGAAAAGTGGACGCACTAACGGCGATGGAAAACATCAACGCTGATGATAATAGTGGAGTCATAAGGATCTTGTTGCTTCCATGACCTGGTCCCGATTTGCGCTTCGAACTTTACTATATACGTCCGCCCCGGGTCATGTTTCCTTGATGATAAACTCCATCTTGGTGTATTGCAATCCCGGGGTATAGAGGTCCTACCAATACCTCCAGTCTGCCAGGGCTATAAACTGGTGATGATCAAATGTATCCTCGGCCTTTCCTTGAAATGATTTGACATGGGGTCTAACCAGAGTACCATTTAATCTGGCACTACGGCTGACCGGTTGCCCAGAGGACTTAGTCCTGACCGGTCAATTGGTTGAGGTTCCTTCGGGATCCACGTAGTGACTGTGGTTTATACCCAAATTCGCGGGGAGAGAATGTTGGTTTAAGGACAATATATCCAAATGCCAATTATGTCTGGAGTCTCTCTCCGGTGCTGTTGCCATCTCAACAGATGTCACTGGGTGATGTTACAGAGGAACTTATGCTGGATTCCTAAACCCGTTGAGTATCTCTTATTCTTCGGGTAGTAGGGCGCCACTATATGTTGGGGAATTTTCAGGTTGATACTTGATAGTTGCCAGTTATTCCATAGATCGTTACTTGCGGTCTGAGAATGGAACTGATGTAATTGGTGAACGATCGGGAAAGACTACTCTGCCCGACAGGAAAGGAAGTAGACCTTTTACTTCAGGGAAGTTCTCGGTGTTGTTGCCATCTCAACAGGATTCATATTGTTTCATGCTACGCGACATATGGTTGAGGTCCATTCCCTCAACTTGTCGTGGCAAATAAAGAGGTTAAGGAATGCACTGGAATGGGTCATTAGTTGATGGGGATTGCATTGCATGACATCATAAGGGTGGTCACCTTCCGGCATACCGGAAGATTGATTTCACCTGATGTTGGGGTTTGTTGCCCCTTTGCTGAGTTCTTCAGCAAAGTGCTTGTACGTGGACCGGCTCAGCCATGTACAAATAAGCACTCGTTTCGTGTACTATATACTATATACTCTAGGTGCTATTACCGAAACAACGAACTTTTGGCGATATTAAGAAGTTCAGGAATGATTTGGTGTTTATGGTCCCCTTCTGTGACATAGTGACGCACTGACGTCATGTTGGATTAAGGAATCTCTTTCGATTTAAATACTGACAAATTCCTCTTCTTTGTGTGAATATTCTTTGGAATTGCTTTAATGTTGTCTGAAACTCCGCAATTAAGCAAATTGCACAAAAATTACCTCGTAAGTCATTCCAGGGCGATAGGTGGACTGACTCCTTTTTCCCCTGTGGTTGAAAAAGACCACAGTAGGATTTGGTCACTTAGGAACTATATTCCCTATCTAATATGATAGTTGTCCCTTCTTTTTTAACCTACTGTGATAGTTTAAGTTTTGGCCATCACTGTTACCTATCATGATTCCTAGAATAATGTTGCCTATCTTAAGGAGACTTGAATATCCCCATTTGTATATTAACAACACAAAAAAAAATCCTATAAAGTATTTAAATTTCGTCTTATCCCAACAAAAATGCAAATTTAATTTCTTTCTCTTTCACAATCTCCCCCGTTTATCAACAACTTTTTATTTACTTTTTAACAATTGCTGTTTCCTGTATACATATCACTATTTGCGTATGTAAAAGTGTGTGTGTGTTTATATTTGTTGTATTTGTAAAGAAAAAAGAATTTCATTGCTGATTTCTGAGATGAGTAAGAATATGAATTTGAAGAGTTTATGTTAGTAGGACGTTTATTTTTTTTTATCAGCTTTGCTTTGTTTATGTTTCTTTTCTTTTATAACATAAAACATTTATTTGCATAAAAAAAGTGTTTGTTTTTATATATTTTGTTTAAAACTTACCGGAGCTGGAGTAGAGCTACCATTGGATACACCATTATTGTAGCCATGAGCATTCAAGGCTGAAGTAATGGTCGAAGCACTCAATTTGGTGTTACTGTAAATAAGGAAAAAGAGATGTTAAAGGTATGATAAATAATATAAATTCTTTTATAGGTAATTTTATTGGATTTAAACAAAAAATATCATAAAATTTGCATACATATTTTTGTTTGTAAATTTTTACCAAACATTTTTGTAAATAAAATTTTGCATTGAAAGTACAAATGTTTTACTGAAGTACTTTTAAATTTCAATCTTTAAATTTATTTATTACAAACAAATATTTATGTTTGTTGGAAAAAATGTCAAAGAATTTTTAACGCCATTTATTCAATAAGTGAACTATAAAACAGCATTTACAAGTAAATACATATTTGGACAATTTCGTGTCAAGTGACCCAACCCAAAAAATCGATTTGGATGACATTTTCATCAAGGATAATACAATTGAAAATATAGTACTATGTTAAAACATTGAAGAAGTAGCTATCTAAACGCCATTGGACAGTTTTTCCTAGGACCAATACTTGAAAAGTTACACTTACAAAAACCCCTGTATGGCAAAAATAAACAACTTTGAAAGATAGAGCTAAAAATTTGTGTCTTGCCTACTATCCAGTAGTACTAACTTTAGTGCAAATTTCATCCAAACGAATTTTTTGAGTTGGGTCACGTGACACGATTGGCTCTTCTCTTAACAGGTGTTCTTAGGAATACGCTTAGTAAAGCTTTGTTTGCTATGCTGAACTGGCTACCGATCTTCTTGCTAAACAACTGGCAATGAGTTCTGCAGCCAGATTAGGTATTACTAATAGATGGAACTTTAGTTCCAAAGACTGTAGATTTTCTCCCAAATTTACACCATGCCAATGACTACTACTACGAGAAACTTTTGGTATAGTATAATCTCTGATTATAATGAATCGACACCTGTAAATGTTGATAGCCTTAGAGCGCTCTGTTATCAGTTCTTACTAGTCATTCCAAGTTCGGAAAACATATAAGATGCATTGGTCTTCCATACAATTACTTTTGTAGGAGCTGTCAAAATGAAGAATCGTTTCGTCACCAGGCGATAGGGTCGCCATACTTTTCCGATCTAACTGATCTGTCAACTGTTCAACCTGAACGTATTCTTGCATTCCAAAAATTGTCGAAGTGGGTGGGTGTTATGTTATTAATCACACACTATGTTCTCTACTCTTCTATAGACTCTCTATCGCATTTTTTTCCTTCAAAATATTTTTCCTTGTCTTGTTTCTTTCCAGACATTACAAAGGGACCTAATACGACCCAAGTAAAGCTATACTCATGGCGGTAAGCAGTCTGCAGATACTAACCTAACTTGACACGAAATTACCCATTTATTGATTACAAAGAGCTAGTCAAAAAGCTGGTTCAAAGTAGTCATTGCATAGCCATGATCTTTTTGCTCTCGTTTGTTGCTCTAGATTATTTCGCGACTATAAAGTGACGACTGTTTATTCCGCTCTCACTTACAAAGGGATGCCTACGGGTAACCCTAAGTGGTATGTTAAACCGCTACTTCCAGATGGTCCCTAGAACTGCTGGGTTCTTTAAGTAAATATTTGAACCGGAAATACCATGCTGCAGCGCTTTTATCGGCCTCTGAATTATCAACTGAATTGGAAAACTGTTACCAATCCAGATCACATAAATATCTTCCGATATTGTTTTAGAATAAGGTAGATAGAGTAAAACTTTATACTGGCAACCACTTGAGGCGTAGCTACTCCCTTGGATCCAGTTTTAAGCAATTATCAAACGGTATGTTCACAAGATTTTAGAAATGAACCAGTCAATTAATTTATCATTGTGGTGGAACACTTTCTCTGTCATTGCCAGACTTTCTTCGAGATTAGATCCAAATACCTTGGGAGCATAGTTATTTCAGATATTATATCCCTCAGCAGCATTGATTGGACAATTTTAAGGAACTACATCAAAAAAAAAAAAAAAAAAAACTAAGTTTCTAAACCTTTCCTTTTACAGATCGCTATATATCAATAGTTTCCATAAAAGTTAGCAGATTTGATATAGAGGTCCAAAGCCCTTTTGTGGGACTTAAAAATTTTGAATTAAATATTACTTTTTCTAAGGGAGTGTTCACAAAACTTGAGTAAAACATTATACTTTATGGATCATTACCAATTATTATTAAATTTTGAAAATTTCTTATTTCAAATGAAATCAGTTTCCATAATTTCAGGCATTTAGATCAGTAGAATGTATATAGGGTCTAATCATAAAATATTTACTTTACTAATACTAACATAGAATTAAAGCATTTATAAATATTTCATTGGAAAGTTGTTAGTTGTTTTTTATTTGTTTAAATCATGTCATGAATTCTCTTAAATATATTTTATTTTGTCTATTAGTTATATGTATTTATTTATTTTAAATACATATTTACAAAAATACACACACACATACACCGAAAATTGTACATTTATTCCTATTGACAGAATTATATGAATTTATAATGTTTTGCTTCATTGGCTGTTTTCAATTTGGATTTAACAGAAAAACCATTTCACAATCATTTTGGCAAAATATTTTATTTAATTTTTGTTAGTTTTTCTGTGTGAAATATTTATTACACATTTATGTATATACATATGTATGTGTATATGACATTTTCTTAATACCCTACATAGCAGTTATAACGATCGACATATAATGGCTTGATCAAGATGTTATTTTAAAGTTTAAAATTTAAACAAATAGTTTTCTTATTATAGAAAGCGTTTTATCCGATTTCATCACGATCGTTACAGTTTGTTATAAAAAGCTCAAATCAATGCAAGGTATTATAAAGTTCTGTTATAGAACTTTTAACATTCGTCATAGTCGAACTTAATATTCATAGGTTTTTGTTAGTTTTTTCATAAATTTAATTTATATTGGACAAATATTTTTGTAAAACATTTTAGTAGCAGTTTTCGTTTTTCTGCTTTTAGTTCGATTAGTTTGTTAAACAAATTTTAGTTTATAATATTAAATAGACTGTAGTTGATAGAAAAAGTTTATTGATATATTATTTACAATACTCTCTATCTTAGATTTATATGAATTTTACAGTTTGATGAAAAAATGATAAAAAAATAATAAATTTATTTTTTCGCTTTCATAAATGCTGTAGTTTCCCTATCGTTGCTTAATTTTTGGACAAATTTTAGAAAAATGAACGCTTTAACAGTGTTCCTGAAAAAAATATTCTAGAATCAAAATTTTTTATATTTGACGAATTATAAAAATATTGTCTTCTTTAGTCTGCTGTAATCTTGAGTACTTTAAGATAGAAAGTTTTGTAAATATTCCAATGATATATTGTAAATTATATCATAAATATTTTATGTAATAGAAAAAAATTTACAAATTTTTAATAGAAAATAATATAATTTCGACTTTAAATCAAATTTAAACTAAAAAAAATTTAATTTCCTAAATAAATAATGGTTTCAACAACAATATTATAAATGATTCAAAACAAGAATTGATCACATAAAAATAATGACTTCGGTAGGATATAGAATATACGCCGCAGCAAACGGAGAACTAGCATAACAATTACTCTTTTGTAGCCAAAAGATGTGAAGCAGGCAGTGTTGACAAAATTTTTTCTCACGTATAAACGTAAATGTATGTCTAATCTTAATTCTAATGTGTGTAATTCTAGTATATAGTATAGTCTAGTCCATAATCTAGTCTAAAGTCCAGTCCATAATCTAGTATATAGTTTAGTCTATAGTCTAGTCTATAGTCTAGTCCATAGTATAGACTTGTCTAGTCTATAGTCTAATCTATGGTATAGTCTATAGTCTAGTGTATAGTCTATTCTATAGTCTAGTCTATAGTCAAGTGTATAGTCTAGTCTTTAGTCAAGTGTATAGTCTAGTGTATATTCCAGTGTATACTCTAGTGTATAGTATAGTCTATAATCTAGTGTATAGTCCAGTCTATACTCTAGCCTATAGTCTAGTTTATAGTATAGTCTATAGTCAAGTCTATAGTCTAGTCTATAGTCAGGTCTATAGTCAAGTCTATAGTCAAGTCTATAGTCTAGTCTATAGTCTAGTGTATAGTCTAGTCTATAGTCTAGTCTATAGTCTAGTCTAGTCTATAGTCTTGTCTATAGTCTAGTCTATAGTCTTGTCTTTAGTCTAGTCTATAGTCTAGTCTATAGTCTAGTCTATAGTCTAGTCTATAGTCTAGTCTATAGTCTAGTCTATAGTCTAGTCTATAGTCTAGTCTATAGTCTAGTCTATAGTCTAGTCTATAGTCTAGTCTATAGTCTAGTCTATAGTCTAGTCTATAGTCTAGTCTATAGTCTAGTCTATAGTCTAGTCTATAGTCTAGTCTATAGTCTAGTCTATAGTCTAGTCTATGGTCTAGTTAATAGTCTAGTCTATAGTCTAGTCTATAGTCTAGTCTATAGTCTAGTCTATAGTCTAGTCTATAGTCTAGTCTATAGTCTAGTCTTTAGTCTTGTCTATAGTCTATAGTCTTGTCTATAGTCTAGTCTATAGTCTAGTCTATAGTCTAGTCTATAGTCTAGTCTATAGTCTAGTCTATAGTCTAGTCTATAGTCTAGTCTATAGTCTAGTTAATAGTCTAGTCTATAGTCTAGTCTATAGTCTAGTCTATAGTCTAGTCTATAGTCTAGTCTATAGTCTAGTTATAGTCTAGTCTATAGTCTAGTCTATAGTCTAGTCTATAGTCTAGTCTATAGTCTAGTCTATAGTCTAGTCTATAGTCTAGTCTATAGTCTAGTCTATAGTCTGGTCTATAGTCTAGTCTATAGTCTAGTCTATAGTCTAGTCTATAGTCTAGTCTATAGTCTAGTCTATAGTCTAGTCTATAGTCTAGTCTATAGTCTAGTTAATAGTCTAGTCTATAGTCTAGTCTATAGTCTAGTCTATAGTTTAGTCTATAGTCTAGTCTATAGTCTAGTCTATAGTCTAGTCTATAGTCTAGTCTATAGTCTAGTCTATAGTCTAGTCTATAGTCTGGTCTATAGTCTAGTCTATAGTCTAGTCTATAGTCTAGTCTATAGTCTAGTCTATAGTCTAGTCTATAGTCTAGTCTATAGTCTAGTCTATAGTCTAGTTCTATAGTCTAGTCTATAGTAGTCTATAGTCTGTCTATAGTCTAGTCTATAGTCTAGTCTATCGTCTAGTTATAGTCCTAGTCTATAGTCTAGTCTCTAGTCTGCTCTAGTTGTCTATAGTCTAGTCTATAGTCTAGTCTATAGTCTAGTCTATAGTCTAGTCTATAGTCTAGTCTATAGTCTAGTCTATAGTCTAGTCTATAGTCTAGTCTATAGTCTAGTCTATAGTCTAGTCTATAGTCTAGTCTATAGTCTAGTCTATAGTCTAGTCTATAGTCTAGTCTATAGTCTAGTCTATAGTCTAGTATATAGTCTAGTCTATTAGTCTAGTCTATAGTCTAGTCTATAGTTAGTCTATAGTCTAGTCTATAGTCTAGTCTATAGTCTAGTCTATAGTCTAGTTCTATAGTCTAGTCTATAGTCTAGTCTATAGTCTAGTCTATAGTCTAGTCTATAGTCTAGTCTATAGTCTAGTCTATAGTCTAGTCCTATAGTCTAGTCTATAGTCTAGTCTATAGTCTAGTCTCTATAGTCTGTCATAGTCTAGTCTATAGTCTAGTCTATAGTCTAGTCTATAGTCTAGTCTATAGTCTAGTCTATAGTCTAGTCTATAGTCTAGTCTATAGTCTAGTCTATAGTCTAGTCTATAGTCTAGTCTATAGTCTAGTCTATAGTCTAGTCTATAGTCTAGTCTATAGTCTAGTCTATAGTCTAGTCTATAGTCTAGTCTATAGTCTAGTCTATAGTCTAGTCTATAGTCTAGTCTATAGTCTAGTCTATAGTCTAGTCTAGTCTATAGTCTAGTCTATAGTCTAGTCTATAGTCTAGTCTATAGTCTAGTCTATAGTCTAGTCTATAGTCTAGTCTATAGTCTAGTCTATAGTCTAGTCTATAGTCTAGTCTATAGTCTAGTCTGTAGTCTAGTCTATAGTCTAGTCTATAGTCTAGTCTATAGTCTAGTCTATAGTCTAGTCTATAGTCTAGTCTATAGTCTAGTCTATAGTCTAGTCTATAGTCTAGTCTGTAGTCTAGTCTATAGTCTAGTCTATAGTCTAGTCTATAGTCTAGTCTATAGTCTAGTCTATAGTCTAGTCCATAGTCTAGTCTATAGTCTAGTCTATAGTCTAGTCTATAGACTAGACTAACTGCTAAAACGCATTTTTCCCGCAATTGTCATTTCAAAAACGTCAAATTGGCAACACTGGAAACAGGTTTCCACAAATTACTCTTTGCTTTACACTGCTGCTTCTTAGAGGCAGATCTTTAAGGGTGACTTAAAAAAGTTACTAATATTTTTAACAAGAATTTAAGCATTTAATTTATGTATTAATTCATATCAAATATTTCCTGTGAATCATATCATTTATAACTACACACTTGAAAACTTAATTAATCTAAAATCCATTTCATTTTAACATCAATCACTCACTCACAATCTAAATTACATGCCAACAATATTATAAATAAAATGATTCGGTACATTTGAAATAAATCCTTTATAGAGTTAAATTAATATGCCAGTCATTAAGACCAGCCTTCGAACGTGTTTAATGCAAAAATTAAATATCAATATTGAATATAGTATTTTTTTTTTTGCAATTTAAATTGAAAAACATGTCCGTTGTATTTAAACAAATTTGATTTATGCATTTACAGTTAAATGATACCTTTTATGGATTTTTTTATATGTATTTTTTAATATTTCAATACAAAATTATTTATACAAAAAAAAAAAAAAACAAAGAGAATTTCATATAAAAAGTACTTACGGTTTAATGGGTATGGGTACATAGCCCTCAGTGCCAGATGGAGGATTTTGCATAGCAGCCAATTTAGCATGGATGTCACAGTACAATTTATTATTGAAATTGTAGTAACCTTGATTTTTCAATGAAGTACCACAAGTGGCACACTTGAAACATTCAACATGTAAATTTCTATCCTTGATGCGTACAAAAACACCACTATAATTGATAGAAGAATGCAACAAAAATAAATAAATAAATAAATAATATGTATTAATTAAATTGTTTAAAAGTAGAAAATAAAATAATTGATGAAATTTTAATTAAACTACAGAAAAAACAAAATGAACAATAACAACAACAATTAAAATTTGTTTGCTTTAAAAAAAAAGTGTAAAACAAATATTAAGACATAACATATTTTATCATAGAACGGTAATTACGGAAAATAAATTTATAAAATTACTTTGATTTAATAAAAAATTATGAAAAAAAATTATGCAATTTTTAACAAAAAAGTACTTTTTTTAGGTTTGAAAGTACAAAACTTTGGAAAAGCTGTTACAAAGTCTTCAACACCTTAAAATTGTAAATAAGTTGTAAAATAATTATCCGAATGTTAGTGTAGTTCCCGATCTGTTGACTGGTCTATTAATTAAACTATTAACACGTGTATGGACTAGTACGTTGGCTAATGGACTATTCTAGGGACAAATCTATTGGCTAGTGTTATGACCAGTCCTCTGACAGGTCTATAGACTAGTCTATGGAATGGTCTTTTAACTGATCCCTGTACTAGTCAATTTAGTTATCTGTTGTCAAATATTTCGACTTGTCTATGGACCGGTGTATTGAGTAGTCTATGGGCTAGACTATAGGCTAGTCTAGGGACTAGTCCCTAGGGGCTAGACCAGTCCTCTAACAGGTCAACACTAGTAAATGAAATGATCTATAGTCTATGGGCTAGACTATGGGCTGGTCTAGGGAGTGGTCCCTAGGGACTAGGCTAGTCCTCTCACAGGTCTATACACCAGTATATGAAATGCACAATTAACGTAAAATAATTATCCGATCTTTAGTGTAGTTTCCGGTCTGTTGACTGGTCTACTAACTAAACTATTAACTCGTCTATGGACTAATACGATGACTAATGGACGAGACTATTGAGTACTCTATGGACTATTCTATTGCTAGTGTTATGATCAGTCCTAGACTATGGAGTACTCTATGGACTAATTTATTGGCTAGTATTATGACCCATCCTCTGACAGGTCTATAGACTAGTCTATGGCATGCTATATTAACTGATTAACTAGTCTATGCAGTTATCTGTTGTCAAATATTTCGACTTGTCTATGGACTAGTGTATTGAATAGTCTATGGGCTAGACTATGGTTGGTATAGAGTGGTATAGAGTAGACTAATCCCTAGGGACTAGACCAGTCCTCTGACAGGTCTATACACTAGTCTATGAAATGATCCATTAACGTAAAATAATTATCCGATCTTTAGTGTAGTTTACGGTCCGTTGACTGGTCTATTTACTAAACTATTAACTCGTCTATGGACTAGTACGTTGACTAATGGACTAGACTATTGAGTACTCTATGGACTATTCTAGGGACAAATATATTGGCTAGTGTTATGATCAGCCCACTAACAGGTCTATACACTAGTCTATGGAATGCTCTATTAACTGGTCAATGTACTAGTCAATGTAGTTATCTGTTCTCTGTTGACCAGTGTATTGTATTGACCCGTCTTCTGACTGTTCTATGCACTAGTCTACTGACTGTTTTATTGACTAGTTTATTAACTCGTCTATGGACTAGTCTATTGATTGGGGTAAGGTCTTATTGACTTTGGCTTTGGAATTCTTTATTTAAGGGTCTATAGACTGGTCTATGGACTAGTCTACGAACTAATGATTGATGTGTATATAGACTACTGTATTGACTAGTCTTTGAGTTAAGCTATTGACTAGTAAGTTGACTAATCTTCTGACTTGTCTTTCAACAAATCTACTGAGTTCTTTTTGGACTATTCTGTGGACTAATCTATTGACATGTGGACTAATCTATTGACATGTGGACTAGTCTATTGACAATCTAGTGTATTGACCAGTCTTCCGACTGGTCTCTTGACTTGTATATAGACTAGTCTATAGACTGGAGTGCGTACTAGTCTACAGACTAGACACGTGTATTGATTAGTCTGTGAGCTAGTCAATGGACTAATCTATAGTCAAACCCCCATATTCAAAACCACATTATAAAGTTATTGATGATTTATTGTGGGAATTTTATATGGAAAATGTGTGTAATAAACCTAAAATAAACGATTAATATCTTTATGAATACGGGAGATAATATGTAAACCGGAAAATGTGTGGAATAAACCTAAAATAAACGATTATTATCTTTATGAATACGGGGATTAATATGTAAACTGCGGTATTAATCGTCAAAAGGTATAATTGTACTGAATTTGTTTAATCATTACGAAATAGCCCTTAATAAAATATTTAAATTTTAAATTATTTATTTTCCCTTCAAACAAAACCTTGTAAACCACTTAAACCATTTTAATTAAATGCTTACAGTTTTAAAATAGTTTATAGAATTTTTTTTTTACAATACATGTTCATTAATTTTAAATTCTTTTTCACTCTATAAAACTTTATTTAAATTCATTAATACGAATTTTTATGCCTCCAAAAAGTGTATTTTCTCCATATTTATATGTTCAATTTAAAACATATGCCGCAAATCAGACCACATTTATTTTCTTAATTTGTGGTTAATTTTAAAAATGTAATTTGCCATAAACATTTTACTTATGTAAATACTTACATAAATATTTATACATATACATATACCATATGTATACATATTTTATAATTTAATATTTTTATAATTTTTAATAAAAATAAAAATGATTGAAAACTGTTCTCACCAGCCATTAATTTACGGTTTATTAATCATAATGAGTATTGAAAATTTGCTTGATATGTTTGCAGACATGTTTGTACATGGTTAAGCATGTTTTTGCACATATCAAGAGTGAAAATAAAACAAAAAATTATTAAAACAAAATACGGAGATTAAATGAAAAGAACAAAAAAAAAACTGAAAAATATGAAAATTTATCAATTAAATATTAAAACCTTAATAAATAATAAACAAAATGACCACCAACCAATAAACAAAGTATGCAGTATAAAATACACAATTTGTGTATATGCATTAATATGTATATTTATATGCATACATACATAACTATACATACTTATAAAGCGTAACAGTGAGCAACAAATATTAGTATACCAATATTAGTATACCAAGCACAAATGGTATCGATATTTGATGCTCAAAGCAAATATATTCTGTCCTCTGTTCAGTATTTTAAATACCAGTCAAATACTAGAACTACAAAGGAGACTATATATATGGATCAGTCTGTAGCACAGACTATATTCGAAAGTATATTTCAGACATTAGACAAAGCTATAGTGCAGATTATAGACCAGTCTATAGTCCAAACTATAAAAAGACTATAGTCGAGACTATAGACGATACTATAGTCCAGACTATAAATGAGACTATAGACGATACTATAGTCCAGACTATAGACGATACTATAGTCCAGACTATAGACGAGACTACAGACGATACTATAGTCCAGACTATAGATGTGACTATAGTCCAGACTATAGATATGACTATAGTCCAGACTATAGATAAGACAATAGTCCAGGCTATAGACGAGACTATAGTCCAGACTATAGACGAGACTATAGTCCAGACTATAGACGAGACTATAGTCACACTATAGACATTACTATAGTCTAAACTGTAGACGATACTATAGTGCAGACTGTAGTACAGACTATAGACGAGACTATAGTGCAGACTATAGACAAGACTATCGACGAAGCTATAGTGCAGAGTATACAAGAGACTATAGTCGAGACTAAAGATGAGATTGTAATCGACATTATAGTCGAGACTATAGACGAGACAATAGTCCAGGCTATAGACGAGACTATAGTCCAGACTATAGACGAGACTATAGTCCATACTATAGACGAGACTATAGTCCATACTATAGACGAGACTATAGTCCATACTATAGTCTAGACTATAGACAAGACTATAGTCCAGATTATAAATGAGACTATAGTCCAGACTATAGACGAGACCATAGTCCAGACTATAGACGAGACTATAGTCCAGAATATAGACGAGACTATAGTAGTGCAGACTATAGTGCACACCAGACTATAGACGAGACTATAATTCAGACTATAGATGATACTATAGTCCAGACTATAGACGAGACTATAGTCTAGACTATAGACAATACTATACTTAGTTCAGTCCATAGACAAGTGTAGTTTATGGACCAGACAATAGACAAAGCTTTATTCCAGATTATTATAGGGAGTCTTACCTAAAACAATTTTCTGCCAACTTTTGTCACCCACTGTCAATAGCACATAGGTATAAGTTAATGTATGTGTTTAAATTGTACACAATTGCACACAAACAAACAGTACACAACACGGCCATAAAACACTGTTTACAGTATAATGCGAGTACAATGAATATACACAATTACTTAAACATGTATTTATTTATAGTTGTACTATATGTATACATGTACAATAAACAGTACAAACTGTAAACTCAAACGGTGTCTGTGTTACCGATTGTAAACAGATTTACCCAGCAATCATATCAATTATATCAAAGGCTTTTCTCAAAGTTTTCTGAAGTTTAAAGCAAAGGTTTGAATTGTTCATTTGACTGATAAAGAGATCACTTAGTCAGTAGACAGGACCATATACTAGTCAACGAATTAGTCAATAGATAAGTCTTAAGGCTAGTGAGTAATTTATCTTCATATTAGCCAGTAGAATTGTCCACAGAAACATGGTTTAGTCCATGTACTAGTCAATAGACTTGTTTATAAACTGGTTTTTAGAATAGTTAATAGACTGATCCGTAGACTAGTCCATAGCATAGGCTGAACAATAGATTTCCTCATAGTCTGAAATTTAGACTTTTTTGCACATTTAATCTTTAAAAAAGGATGGAAAGATTGATATTTTAAAGTTCCATTGCTAAGTTTAATAAAACGATTGAGAAAATTGTAGTTTTCAAATCATTCTTAAATCAATTTCAAACCATAGTGTTTGCCGGGCTAAGTGCAGCAGTCTATGGGGGTGTGTGTGTGAGAGAGATTTCATACCTACATACATACAAAGTACGTATTATGAATATTTCAATTTAAATGATAATTTGTTGAGTGGCTTTGTTGTTGCAACTACAGTTGGTTGCACGTTTGTTCGACTATATGTCGTATTAGTGTTGACTGTGATGCAATCAACAACAGTAGCAACAATAGTAAGAACATCATACAACAAGTTGAGCTGTTCAACACAGAGTACAAAAGTATGTGTATAAAAATTAAAATCATTGGAATTTTTCATTTGTATGTGCGTATATGATTTTTTTTTTTATTTTTGTAGAATGTGCAAAAGACATGATTTTCAAGCAACAAAGTTTAATATTGAACACAGCACAGTGCAACAATAATACATAAAGTCACACATACATACATACTATGTATATGTATAAGTATATGTCTGTGTGATTTCATTGTACATATACATATATGAATTTTTATATGCATAATTTCCTTACACAATGCCAACACCACACATTGCACATGGCGGATGTCCGCTAGCTGATAATGGTCTAGGTTGTCCATCCGGTCCTAATGCTGCTGCCTTTGCAGCTGCCTCCATTTCTTCCTTATACTCCGGTGTCTGTAGAGCCGGACATACTGGCATAACAATTAGTCTGGGATCAGGTATTTCTGGTACGGCAGCAACGGCGGGTTTTGGTGGTTCTGTGTTGGCTGTTGATTTGGGAGTTGGCAAACTGGGGCGATGTGTGGCGGCTGGTGCCAATGTATTCTGTTGTAATGGTGTACCAATACGCTCATCATCACTATCCTGCTTGTGATGGCCGCCAATGGCATGACTTCGTGTCCAATAGTAGTTTGATGTGCTGTGTGGCTCTAGATTTAAGGATTTGTCAATTTTTAAATTTTATGCTAAATAAAATATTTAAACTCAGACAGATTTCCTATAACTTTAACTAAATACTGTTTGTTATAAATAAATATTATTTTCCTTTTGGGACAATTTAAATTATTTCACACATTTGTTTGTCCTAACAACTAATTTATATTTCGCACCTGAAAGTATGCAAATTAGCTGTAAATATTTTAGCAGTTGTTTTTGCATAATAAGTATTCTCTATTGTATTTTAAAATTATAAAACTTTCTATTGAAACTATACTAAACTAAATTATATTATATTTAAATGATATTTTTGGACAATTATGATTACAAAAGTTATATTTAATAGATAGACAAAAGAAAGGATCAAAAAAGTTTGCGATGTTTTTAAAACAAATAATGATTGCTAAAGGGTTTTTCATTAAGAACGTTGTGTTTTCTGATAATTATCGAATAATAGAGATATTGGCTTTACTATCAAAGTTCTCGTTACGCTAACTTTGCTTTACGAAATTCGATTTCGTATTCCATAAGTAATGAAAATCATTTCTATAACCTCCTCATAGGACGTTTAATTGAAAAAAACATCGTTCTTAATGAAAAACCTTATTTGGATTTCAATACTAGTTCAGGGTAACACTTAAGACACGTTCCTTTTCTCATGACCAGGATGTTCTTTAAATAGATAATGTTTGAAATATAGGTGTATAATATAGTATATTATAGTTAGGGAAACATTTAGACATAAATATGTATCACATTACTACAGTGTTTTGCAGATTTTATAATGCAAAAATGGGTTCTGGATACTTTCTTTAATTTTGAGTACCTATATCCGATTCCCACCTATAAATCTAAATAGCAATGGAATACATGTGTAAACAGTTCTAATATGAGATCACTATGATATTGCAAAATTAGTCAAGTTACAAAACATATGATTGACTTGATAAGTATCATTTGTTAGGGTATTCAAAACGAGATCGGCTTCTAATGCTAAGAAATATATTCATTATATGATCAGATCTTTAGACTAGAATAAAGACCAGACTGTAATCAAAAATATAGCTAATACTATAGACTATATTATAGGCAAGACTATAGTCCAGTCTTTTGTCAAGATTATAACTAAATTATAACTGAGAGTATAGACCTGAATCTAGTTCATAATATAAACCAGATAATACAGCAATAATCAAAGCTTTAGGCCAGACTATATACCAGAATGTAGTCAAGACTGCAGTCAAAACAATATACCTATTATTGTCTAGAATATAGTTCAAACTATAGTCCGGACTATAAACAGAACTATTGACCAGACTATAGTACAGACTTTAGATTAATCAATAGATCAGACTATAAACCAGACCATTTACCAAACTATAGTTCAGACTTTAGACCAGACTATAAACCAAACCCGATAGATCAGATTATAAAGACGATTATAGAATAGTCTAGAATATAGACCATACTATAAACAGAACTATTGACCAGATTATAGTCCAGACTTTAGACCAGTCTATAGACCTGACTATAAAACAGACCATTGACCAGACTATAGTCCAGACTTTTGACCAGACTATAAATCAGACAATATTCAAAACCAGATAGGCCTGATTATATACCATAGTCTTCAGAACAATAGACCTACAATATTGTGCAGAATATAGACCGGACTATAAACAGAACTAATAATCAGATTATACATAGTCCAGACTTTAGACCAGTCTATAGACCAGACTATAAACCAGACCATTGACCAGACAATAGTTTAAACTTTTGAACCGATTGTAAACCAGACTATTGACCATACTATGGTCCCGACTATAGATAAGATTATCGAGGCGACTATAGACCAGAATATAGATCAGACTAAAGCATAGACTGTATACTAGACTATAAGCCAGATTTTAGACTATTAACCTGACTATAGACTAGATTATAGTCCAGACTGTTAATAAGACCATAATCTGGATTATAGACTGGAGTACATATCTATGCCAATAATTGTGTAACACTGGGACTTTTCTGGAAATATTTCTCTGACTTCACATTTTCCAAATACATCACGGCTTCCAAAGTTCTGTCTTAGTCTAAAGTTTCTTCTTGCCAACCAAGTTCCATTACATCCCTAAAGATTTTAAATTTGCATACAAGAGACCCTAACAAATGATACTTTCGATGACGACAGAGCTATAGAAGTATTTTTTGCTGCATTAATGACGAATGAATTTGTTTGATTTCAAATTTTAATTGTTGTTTTGCTGTTTGTTCGTTTTTAAACATAAACTTTTTTTAAAAATGTATTTTTAGTTAAAATTTAGTTAAAAAGAAAAAGTGATAGAGAGAGATAGGAAAAGAAAGAAATAGTAAACTTACGTAATGAGACGTTCACATTCAACACAGATATTTTGACCAGTTGGCAAACCACCAGTGCTTGGGGGTTTTGGTTGGGTTACTGGTGCACTAACGTGTCTAGTGGTTGATTGTTGTTGTTGATGATATTGTTGTTGTTGTTGGTGGTGATGGTGCTGTTGTTGAGGTTGTTGGTGTTGATGTTGTTGGTGGTGTTGTTGAGGTTCTTGATATGGATGATTGTTGAATGCTGTTGTTTGTGTGCGATTTTTTATTTTGTTAATTTTTTTTCATGTCGAAAAGTATTATGTGTCATTGTTAATTGTTTAAACAAAATGCAGCGCACAGCCAAAGTATTTGTTTGTGTTTTTATTTTGTGCAGAGAGACATCATTATTTGGTCGCATGATTTGAACATGAATAAACAATTTTTGTATGATAAACAAAACAAAAAAAACGAAAATAACACACACAGACATAAAAAGAAAAGAAAAATGTATAATAAGTAAGAAAATTGCGCTAAAAATATCTAAATGCATGAAATATAATTTAATATATATAATTATTTTCTATAACTGTCAATATTTTCAAGGTCTTCTTGTGGAAATTTTAAAAAAATATTTACCTTAAAATCACAGAAAAGCTACAAAAAATCTTTAACATTAATATTTACTAAACAAATCTAATATTCTTTTGGTATAATTTAAATTAATTAACTATTCTTTATAATTCTGCTCCCTCATCTAATTTAAATAGGTTCTGTCCATTATTAATGCAATATAAAATTATGGCTAAATTATAGTAATCGCTTATATTACCTGGTGTAGAGGGGCCAGATTCTTCTTCACGCAAGAATTTCAATACTTCAGACTTATCGGCCTGGTATTCCTTTTCGTTTTTCTTGAAGTTAACACTGTGGGGAGAAATAAAAAATAAAGAAAAATTAATCATTAAATATAACATCCCTAAAGTAGTTTATAGTTTTTTTCTAGTTTATTAAACAACTACATCCCTAACGTATGCTATGCTATTTTACTTAATAACTACAGTGAAGTGCATAAGTTGTGGTACCATTTAAGCAATAAACTACTATATAATATCTTTATATCTTTATTAATTAATTAAATAGAAATATGTAATTGTTATAAAACATTTAAGTTATTTTTCCTATAATGTTTAACAAATCTAGAACTATAGAAATGTTTTTAAATTCCTTTAGAAATCAAGTATTTTTATTTTCAAACATTGTGCCAAAATAAGCATCTGTTTGATTTATATTGGATTAAATCCAATATCAAAATAATTAGCCAAATTAGAACAAGAATTTGAAAAATTTGTTAAAACCAAAGTTCTTCGTAATTTTCCGTTCTAACAACATAATCTTCTAGTGGATTACATATAAATAAAAATTTAAACACCTTATAATTTTTATTTGTTTACTAGAGGTCTACAAAAGTCAAAATGTTGTTGATATAAGGTGCTGATACGAATTAGAATTTACAATTAAATACAGCTAACCATTTAAGGAAATTAAAGGTATTTAAATATTTCAATAATTTGTTCGAAATACATTTCAGACTGTAAAGAATTTGTCTGAAACATTCATACTCAACAAACACACGAATATCTTGAAACATGAAACTAAGCATGTAAAGCCCGGAGGAAAGGAAATCCTACAAAAGGTAATTTTTCGTTCTTCAAATGGTTTTCTCGAATTTTCTATAACTTTGAACCTAGAAACATAAAATTAAACATTCAGAGTCCTATGTGATTGAAAATCTGTAGGAAAGAATTTTTGGTACATTTTCTTTATTTGACTGGTACTTTTTGGTTTTTATGAAATATTCAACATAGAATCAGAATACATGTATCTTAATGGAATGAAAATCTACAAGAATGTATTTTTTGGTACTTTTTCGTTATTCATCTTAAAGCTTAAGACTTAGAATAAAACACTCAGCGCAATGATTTAATGGAAGGGTACATTCTGGTACTTTTATATTTTTATTATATTTTGATTTTTTGTAATAAAATTCATACTGACTGTTTTTTCTAAGGATATATACGATTCGGCACATCCGAATTTAGAACTCTTACTTGTTTGTGATTAAATTTATCACTCTCAGATCTAGGGAAGCTAAAGAGAACATATCGAGGGACTATATTCAATAGTCCCTATTTGTAATTTTTATGAATATGAGATTTTGATGGCAAAATATCCAGCAAACTATTCCGCATCAGTGATATAAATTTAAACGAAATTTTTTTTGACAATTTTGTAGCAATTTTTAAATTTCTCTATCTTAAAAAAAGAAAAATTCTGAATGCAAAACTCTCTATCATATCCAAAAATTTTTTCAAACTCTATTATTTTGGATAATTTTCTGTTACAAAACAAGTGTTTTTACTAATTTGATAATTCTGACAACAAATCCGCCAAAATATTTAAAATCGGTTTATTAGTTTTCGAGATATCGATCATTATGATAATAATTTGATTATGTTTGACCATATAACATTGATTTTGGACCAAAACCTTATAATCTGTTGCTTTCTCAAAAATTTGGTTTCTACTATACTTCATTAAATTGCATAAAATATAATATTTATTGATATTAAATCAAATAAAAAAAATTATAATTCTATGAAAAACTATCTATCTGAACCTTGTATATCTGATATAAATTTGCGAATAATTTTGGAAATAATGCAAAATTTTAAATTCTTTTTATATAAGGATTTAACTTGTATTATTTTAGATATAGACTATTGAATATAGTCCAACGATATATACCATCTTTAGAACCATTGTGGAATAGTTTCCAGCGATTTTTGTTTGAAATGGTTAAGTTTTGTATTAATTTTAGAAATAGTTGATGAATTTTCGTTAGTGCAAATATAATTAAAAAAAACTATTTTCAAAATATTCCAAAATATATCTAATTTCAGATATTTCTAATTGTATTTCAGAATTTTTCAATTGTGTTTCATAATTTTCAAACAGAATTTACAATAACTTTTGAAATTTTCAACCGATTTCTGTGTTTTAAATATTGTTGGAATGATAATTGCATAATTGTTACAATTTTTTCATCGTAATAATCAAAAAATATTAATTTAGTGGTAAATAGTTATCAAAATTAAGAGACTCAGCGCAACCAAGTCCGATTGCCCTATCTCTACAAAATTTGTTTTTACAGCCCGAATTACAACAACATTATTTTCAACTTTTACAAAAATACCGAATTGAATATTGGGAATACATATATAAAACCGTGCAATAAATGAAATAACATCAAAATATGAAATCCTAAAAAACTGTGACTCGTGCTCTTTTCGAAATGACTGTGTCAATTAATCCACATACTATTTATTGACTAGTTTATACACATATCTATAGAAAAGTCTATTGCCTATTTACTAGTATACGGACTAGATTTTGATTAATATTTGTACTAGTCTATGGACTATTTAGCATAAATGTGTAAAACAAAAAAGTTCTACGGTAAGTAAGTATAGTGCGGTATTTTTCGATGTTAAAAAGTACTGGAAAGGACTATTATACTGAATTTCTAATTGTATTTATTTCTCATTTATTGTATTAAAGTCTACAGACTTCTGCTATAATTGACACAAGCCCACACAAAAACCCCCGAATCGATCAAAAAACCCCGAATGATCGAATTAATATCCAAGCTCAAAGTTTTAGGTCGTATCTGTAGAACAGTTAAATGCAAAATATTTTATAGAAATATTCTTTACAGAGAAAAATTCTGCAAAAAAATTCCCAAAAAATATTCTATAAAAACAGTTCAATTTAAATATTTTTGCCATTTTTTCTATTAACAAAAAAATAAACAAAAATTTGAGTTTTCAGTAAAATAAACAAATTTAATGCTTTCAATGTAATTCTTTAAAATTTTAATTTTATTTGCTCTACATTTAAAGCCAATTTTATTATTTTACCCCCTCTAATTTGCCGCAAAACAAATTTTGTAATACACTGTAGAAATTTATTTAACAAGCACTTTAAATGCAAAAAATTATATAGCATACTTTAAGGTACGCACATATTTTTGTGTTGCTGTTATTCCAACTACCCTCGAAATGCAAATAACATTAGTTTGCATATTTGTTGTAGCCTACTTTTTGTTTTGTTTGTAACAATTTATTTCACTTTTTACGTTTTTTTCCCTCTGAATCGGCAACAAAACCTAAAGAGGATACTACGGGTGCACTCACTACCGCAAACATGCATACTCTATCCCATCTACAAGAGAACGAGCTTAAAGGCATTAAGAAAATTAATTTAAGTTTATGGTTTGGAAACAAAAAAAAAAACGAAACCAACAACATTTACACAAAAAGACTTTAAAACCATGTTCCATGAGGTTGCAAATAGTACACTACAGCGAGAAAACAATGAGATACAATGCAACACTTATATACATACATACATATGTATGTGTATATCCTTGCTAAATAAATACTACTGTTTAGTATCTGTATGAGTGAGTGCGGTAGTCGAATATACTAACTATGAACCTAGTTACTCGTACTAAAACAATATGTTGTTATTGCTGCAATTTATTTTCTTTTTGTTGTTGTTTTTTTGTCGAGTTTTCTAGGTTAAGCTTTAGTTATTGCTATTGTTTCTATTGTTGCTGTAGTTGGCGGTATTGTTGTTGGTTAAAATTTGTTGAGAGTAAAAACTTAGGGGAACTTCACTTTCATATTTGAAAATCCTTAGAGTAAAATTTAGAAGAAAAACAACAATGCCAACATTGCTAACAAACATACATTAGAGTCCCTTACCAGCCAACACAGAAAGTGAGAGAAAGTTTTAGTGTTTTTTTTTTGCCGTATTTTCCTGGGTGCTTTTCAAAATGAAAACAAACTTTAGCAACATTTTAACTTTGGCCCTTTTGTATAGAAGATAAACATTTTTTTTGTAACAACTTGCGGGTGCAAAAGTGCAAATACGCGATATGAAATTGAGAGAACAATACGAACTGACGTAATGTGGAACCCAGGTTTATAGAGAAATTGTAAAAATAAAAGGGTTAATATTAAATAATAGAGTTATCAAGCCAATTTTGTATATGACATTTAACCAGATAATGCTTATAATGCACCGATTCTCACGGGACTTGCTACCACAATATTGATATCAGATTTCATATTAGAAAGGGGATGTTTTATGAGGTGTTGTTTGGAACAAAGTTGCTTCGAACTCAATTCATTTCAATTTGGTATCTTGACACCTATTATATGTTGAAGAAGGACTTACGAGTCAAATTTACAGCTGCTTAGAAACCTTTGATGAAATGTGACAATCACTCAACCAAATATCCAGAAAGTCCCGATCAACTGCAAGTTGTTTTGTACTCTCGAAAGTTATGGGTGTAACTCTTAAGCTTTTTGGATACCAAGAAACTTTATATGAGAGAAAATAAGGCTTTCGCTCTGGTCTGGTCCAAACTTGACATAATGACACTAATCTTGGTGTAGTGGAGTCAATCCCTAATCTATTTGGACCTAATGGCACTTCTCTTTCAGTAGTTATGTCGTTATAAAATCTTTAAGCTAATCTCTTCGGGAGCTGAAAATAGTTTTCCCCTTTTCTTTCGGATTTTCTCCGCGAACGTTCTATGAGAGTAGTAATATAAGGAATTTGCTCCAATGTCTGTTCAATGTACAATTCTCTTTTTAATTTTCATGAACGACCTACTATCAATCACCTCTAATCCATTGCTTCGAGATAGACTGATACTTCTGAGATCCACCGGGGGCATGTTACCTTGATGAAAGACCCCCATCTTGATGTTATTGACATCCCGGAGAAAATAGGTGCTACCCATACCTCTAGTCTGCCGGGAATATAAACTGTTGATAATCTTGGAATTATTTGACATGGCTTTGAACCGAGGATACCAGGGGATCCGGTAGGCCATAGGGCAGAGTTTGGGACTATGCCGGTACTACAAACTGTTGCTGATTAAATGTATCCGCGGCCTTTTCTTGGAATTATTTGACATTATTTCGAACCAGGGATTCTTATAATCTGGTACCACGGGTACCGGTAGCCCATAGGACAGATTTTCGGACTTTGTCTTGTCACGATTGTTGGGGAGTTCCCTTCAGGGTGCACATGGTAGCTGTGGTTTTAACCCAAACTCGCGGCAAGGGAGTGTTGGTTAAAAAACTGAAGCACGGTAAAGTCTATAATTCGAGATAAGTTCGGTGCTGTTGCCGAGACAACAGAGATCCCACAGAGGAGTGACTTTGGGACTAAGCATTGGGGATAAGTTGGTGTGAAATGTTTATGATATGGAATAAATGTAGGAAATGGGCCTCACCCACCCGTATATCTAGTGTGATATAAGTTTTTCTCAAAGAGAGTGTCGGATGAAGTGTGTAGGATTGAATGATGATGGCTATAGGATATATTATACAAGTGATATCATTGAATGTTTCTCCCTTGTCCGGCATTGTGTTCCCTGTGAGTAAGAACAAATTCTTGGCTTATTTAATAGATTCGTAATTCGGTTTACCGATTACATCTCTAGGTGTTGTTGCCGAATCAACAGAGGTCATCACATAGGCGAGGTTGTTATTGGAAACGATGTTTATATATCTCGGAAATTAAGTAACAGGGCAGCAGTGGTCTAAGATTAGACAGCTCGAGTACTCGAGCAAAGTCCTTGTACATCGAACGGCAGAACTATAAACAAAAATTTTAAAATAGTCGGAGGTGTCTCATCTAACAAGCTCGCTTCTAATAATCACTTTGACTTCTTTCTCCACGATCGTTCTAAAAATATATAATATAAGGAATTTGTTCCAATGACTATATCTTGAATTCAGGTATTCCTCAGTACTCTGTCTAACCTTCCTCTTTAATATTCCTGAACGACCAACCATCAATCATTTGTAGTCCCATTCATTCCTTCAGAGAAGACTGTTTCATCTGAGAACAAACGCAATTCGATTCACAGTCTAGCTAATGACACTTCTCTTTCAGTAGTTGTATCGATATCTTATCTCCTTATGCCCTAATGTGGGCCCTGATCGAATAAATTGATCGAATCGTAAGCTGTTTTCGTTACATATTCATAATATATGATATTTCTATTTAATGGGGAAAGCAATTCTCCCACAATTTAACCCCCCTTCTAAAAATCAACTTCCTACTAAACTTAAACTGTTGCAACAAAATAATACACAACAATTTAAAGTAAAATTTTTGAAGTTTTCTGATGTAACAAAATTTCCAAAATAACTTACAATACTTTAAAGACTTCTCTAACACAAATTGAAAATTATTAACAAGTGTGCAAGTTTTATATAAACTTTAGCAAAAACTATATAAAATTTACTATAACTTTTTCTTTTCGATATTCTTTTTTTTTTTAACTTACCCAAGGACACCACCAGCCAATACTTCAGCCTGAGCCGAGAGGGTTTCTGCAATAGATTCATCGCTATAAATGCCAACTGGGCTGTTGTATTGTTTATTGACAATACTCTTAACGTTGCCATCAACGCCATTGCCCTAGATGAGAGTAAATGAAAGTTAAGTAAAATAAATGATAAATAAAATTCAAAAAGATAAACAGGAATAAAATCAGTAAAATTTTTATAAAATAAAATAAAAAAGACAGCCCTTTATAATGTTAAAAGTTTATTAGATGATGATTTGGTTTCTGTTTATTTTCTTTTGCTCTCTAAAGAAATGAGGTCATAAAGTATTTTAACTTAAACTGAAAGCGTATAAAAGAGAAAAAGGAAATATATGAAAATGAAATATGCCCAAGAGCAAAGTAATCAACAGCATGAAAATAAAGTTACAAGTTTCTGTTTGACTCTGTACTACATTGCTTTTGTAAAGTGATAAAATTATTATTTCATACTCTTTTTGATATTTACTCGTATTTATGTTTATTTTATTTAACTTTTTTTTTCTAAAGTTAATAAATGTTGAACTATAAAGGGATTTAAAACTTGAGATTGAAAGTTTTAAGTAATTGCTGCTGATAAGTACTTTAAATAGTTTTACTCTGAAAGCTTTAAGTGGTATGAGTAACTTTACTCGATTTAATTGAATGCATAGTGAAGCTTAAAAAAGAAGAGTGTAGTTTAAAACGAGAGCGGTTTTTTTGTATTTAAACAATAGCCAAACGAAAAAGATAAACAGTCGTTAGCCAGCCGCAAGCGAGGTAAGTAATCAATTATTGTGCTCAATAAATAATTAGGAGTTTTGAAGAGTATAAGTAGCAGGAGTGTGTGAGTGTTGAAACTGTTAATACTCAATAATATACTTATAGAGGAGCAACACTATTAGTGTTGGATTAATATTGGATTGTTGAATTGAAACTTCTTTATATATTAAATTATTGAAAACTATTTATGTAAATTGAAAGAAAAAACAATTTATTTTCATATTTATTCAATATCCCTTTTTAAATAAAACTAATAATAACAGTAATATTAATAATCCTTTAAATACACAAACAAATCCCAATACATTAAATATTTAAGTATTATTTGCTGGCCCCAAAGGGATATAATGCATATTTCATATTTTGACACTTTTCAAACATAAAAAAAAAGAAAATAAACAATGAATACAAATATCTGTCAACCAAACCATGTAGTAGTAACGGCTGCTGTAAGACAATAAATGAAAGGAAAACAAAGAAAAACAATAAATACTACAGGGATATTGAGTGATATCCTTGAAAAAAAGGGAAACTACTAAGGACCTAAGGAAGAAATAGTCAAGAAAAGGACATATGATAAGTAAATCAAACAAAAATGTTATAGAAAATTTCAATCATTTGTCATGTAATTTTATTAAAATGTCATAATATATTGGAATTGTTTTCAAAGTACAAAGATAATGATGTTAGGTGAAGGAAGTCAGGAAGGAAATAACACTCTTATATACATTTATTTAATCCTTAAGGGTATTTATGGAAATGTATATATTACAAAAACACACACATACATACATACATAAATATCTTTGTCTATATTTTGAAACCCTTTTCAAATGTGAAAGAGAGATTTTTAGCACTTTATGAAGAAAACAGCAAAAAAACAGCTAAAGCTAATTTACATGATTATATTTGCAAAAAAAAAAGAAAAAAGCGAGGGGAAAAAGGTCAAAACAGTATAAACACTAAAAAGGACTAAGAGGTCAGTCAGCAGAAAAATATGTATATGAAAAGTATAATACATTTTTTGGACTACACAAAAAGGATTAGTATAATGAATATTGTGTTGTGCTAAAGTCCAGCACCACAAAAAAGGGTTGATTGTTAGTCTTGCTTTAATGTTCCAAGGGAAGGGGGTATGTTTTAAATTTATTATTTGTTTGGTTAGCTTTCGCATTATCATTAATATGAACTTACAAAAGGTTTGGCCGCATTATTGTAGCCACAGCCGATATGTTGGGACTCTTGCTGTTTGTGAGCCAAAGAAGTTTTCGTCACTGTTTGCAAATAAGGTGAATTGGGTTGGGGCATTTGGCCAGTGGGTTGAACATGTGGACGCCAGGTAGAACCACCTCTGTGAAAATAAAGAAAATTTGCATTAAAATTAAGTTATAATTTATATAGTTTATTTTTAAGTGTAAATAAATTTAAACTAATCGTTTACTTTAGAGGTATTTGATTTTAGTTATATAATAGAATGAATAAATAAAGGAAAAGGGATAATTTGAAGGATAATTTGGAAAGAAATTATTTGTGACTGGTGAAATTAAGAAAAAGGTTAGGGATTAAGTGGAAAATCCTATAAAAATAATATCTCAGAAACTGCAAGAGACAGAGTCCACAAATTTTGCGTGGACAACATCAAAAACCATATGAATGCATAGCTACAGTGCAATGTCATATCCCATCTAAAAAAATCTTCAATTAATTTATCTGAGAAATTATAGCAGCAATTGTTCTCATGTTTTTCGGGGGGACTTTAGTATAAACATAAATGTTTAGGATAAAAAAATAGCGGACTTGCAATAGAAGGCATATGAATTAAACTATAAAATTCGTTTATCTGGAAAACTATCAAAATTATAATCTTAACATTTTGCATATAGAAATTCAACATTCCTATGAATATTTAGAAGAAAAATCGGTGAACTTTCACAAGGGGGTCTTTGCACCTCCATATGAATTAAATATAAAAATTTGTATATCTGAGATACTCTTAGAGCTAAAAGTTAAAATTTTGCAGGAACTTCTTTGATATCCATGTGAACATTTGGGTGATAAATTTACGGACATTTAATAGAGACTTGACACCTCCCATATGAATTATGGACTAGACTATAGTATAGACTATAGACTAAACTATCCACAATACCATAGACAACACCATGCACTAGATAATAGACTAGACTATGGAATACGCCATGCTCTAGATTATAGACTAGACAATAGATTAGAATGTATAGTATAACATTGTACTAGACTAGGCCATAGGCTAGAGTATATACTAGACTATAGACTAGACTATAGACTAGACTATAGACCAGACTATAGACTAAACTATAGACTAGACTATAGACCAGACTATAGACTAGACTATAGACTAGACTATAGATTAGACTATAGACTAGACTATAGACTAGACTATACACCAGACTATAGACAAGACTATAGACCAGACTATAGAACAGACTATAGACTGGACTATAGACTAGACTATAGACTGGACTATAGACTAGACTATAGACCAGACTATAGACTAGACTATAGACTAGACTATAGATTAGACTATAGACTAGACTATAGATTAGACTATAGACTAGACTATAGACCAGACTATAGACTAGACTATAGACTAGACTATAGACTAGACTATAGACTAGACTATAGACTAGACTATAGAATAGACTAGACTATAGAATAGACTATAGACTAGACTATAGACTAGACTATAGACTAGACTATAGACTAGACTATAGACTAGACTATAGACTAGACTATAGACTAGACTATAGACTAGACTATAGACTAGACTATAGACTAGACTATAGACTAGACTATAGACTAGACTATAGACTAGACTATAGACTAGACTATAGACTAGACTATAGACTAGACTATAGACTAGACTATAGACTAGACTATAGACTAGACTATAGACTAGACTATAGACTAGCCTATAGACTAGCCTATAGACTAGACTATAGACTAGACTATAGACTAGACTATAGACTAGACTATAGACTAGACTATAGACTAGACTATAGACTAGACTATAGACTAGACTATAGACTAGACTATAGACTAGACTATAAACTAGACTATAGAGTAGACTATAGACTAGACTATAGACTAGACTATAGACTAGATTATAGACTAGACTATAGACTAGACTATGGACTTGACTATAGATTTGACTATAGAATTGACTAAAGAATTGACTAAAGAATTGACTATAGAATTGACTATAGACTAGACTATAGACTAGACTATAGACTAGACTATAGACTAGACTATAGACTAGACTATAGACTAGACTATAGAGTAGACTATAGACTAGACTATAGACTAGACTATAGACTAGACTATAGACCTAGACTATAGACTAGACTATAGACTAGACTATAGACTAGACTATAGACTAGACTATAGACTAGACTAGACTAGACTATAGACTAGACTATAGACTAGACTATAGACTAGACTATAGACTAGACTATAGACTAGACTATAGACTAGACTATAGACTAGACTATAGACTAGACCTATAGACTAGACTATAGACTAGACTATAGACTAGACTATAGACTAGACTATAGACTAGACTATAGACTAGACTATAGACTAGACTATAGACTAGACTATAGACTAGACTATAGACTAGACTATAGACTAGACTATAGACTAGACTATAGACTAGACATAGACTAGACTAGACTATAGACTAGACTATAGACTAGACTATAGACTAGACTATAGACTAGACTATAGACTAGACTATAGACTAGACTATAGACTAGACTATAGACTAGACTATAGACTAGCCTATAGACTAGACTATAGACTAGACTATAGACTAGACTATAGACTAGACTATAGACTAGACTATAGACTAGACTATAGACTAGACTATAGACTAGACTATAGACTAGACTATAGACTAGACTATAGACTAGACTATAGACTAGACTATAAACTAGACTATAGAGTAGACTATAGACTAGACTATAGACTAGACTATAGACTAGATTATAGACTATAGACTAGACTATGGACTTGACTATAGATTTGACTATAGAATTGACTAAAGAATTGACTAAAGAATTGACTATAGAATTGACTATAGACTAGACTATAGACTAGACTACAGACTAGACTATAGACTAGACTATAGAATAGACTAGACTATAGACTAGACTATAGACTAGACTATAGACTAGACTATAGACTAGACTATAGACTGGACTATAGACTAGACTATAGACTAGACTATAGACTAGACTATAGACTAGACTATAGACTAGACTATAGACTAGACTATAGACTAGACTATAGACTAGACTATAGACTAGACTATAGACTAGACTATAGACTAGACTATAGACTAGACTATAGACTAGACTATAGACTAGACTATAGACTAGACTATAGACTAGACTATAGACTAGACTATAGACTAGACAATAGACTAGACTATAGACTAGACTATAGACTAGACTATAGACTAGACTATAGACTAGACTATAGACTAGACTATAGACTAGACTATAGACTAGACTATAGACTAGACTATAGACTAGACTATAGACTAGACTATAGACTATACAATAGACCAGATTATAGCCTAGACTATAGACTAGACTATAGATTAGACTATAGACCAGACTATAGACTAGACTATAGACCAGACTATAGACCAGACTATAGAACAGACTATAGACTAGACTATAGACTAGACTATAGACTAGACTATAGACTAGAATATAGACTAGACTATAGACTAGACTATAGACTAGACTATAGACTAGACTATAGACTAGACTATAGACTAGACTATAGACTAGACTATAGACTAGACTATAGACTAGACTATAAACCAGACTATAGACTAGACTATAGACTAGACTATAGACCAGATTATAGCCTAGACTATAGACTAGACTATAGATAGACTAGACTACGGACTACACTATAAACTAGATTATTTCCTATAATTCCTTGCTTAAACATTCAATTAAATTTTTGTTTGCATAAATTATTTCATTTAGTTACCTTTGTACAGTAATAACAAAGTTATTGCCGGAACGTACAACAATATCTTGGGCATCTTTGTGGCGTAGATTGAAAACATCGACATCGTTAATTTTAATTACAGCATCACCGGGCATTAAGCCAGCTTGTTCAGCTAAACTGCCACCATTGACCTATAAATAATAAAAACAAATTGAAACAATTAAATTAAAATCAATTTAAAACGGATTTTTATGTGTATTTTAAATAATAAATTAATATGAAATTTACAAACTGAAAATTCATAGGAAATTAATTAAAAAAGGCGTTAAATATAATAAATATCCACAGTTTTCAGTAGCGACTAAATATAACATAAATGTTTAAGTATTTTGAATGCTTGTGGTTAGTGCACTCGGTCTAGTGATGTCCGTCGGTTCGGCCTAAATATTTCACGGCACCAAATCCTGTTTTACTATATCGATGGCTTAGATCGGCGAAATTGTAGTACATGCACAACCACGACTTTTGGATATATCTCGCATACTCAATTTATTTGTTTGTAATATATCATATGAAAGGAACTTTTGACGACTTTCCTATGTGATTCACTGAAGTTTTCCTAACTAAAGCATTAAATTTTTTCTTAAATCTTTTAACTTTGTTCAGAATTTTAGGTATTTTTGTTAAAAATTTTCATTTAATTTTGAAATGATTGTATTTTTAAATCGTTTTATTTTTACTCCCTTTAAAAAAAAGTATTTTTTTCCCATTTAAATACTTTCTCAAACAAATCTAAATGTGTAGCAATTTATAAACGCAAATATTTAAAACAAAATCCGTTAACAACTCAATTATGCTTAAAATAAATCATGATGTTTTTTCTGGTCGTTTGTTATACATATATTTTTTTGGTTTAAAGACCGAAAAACAGCCTGAGGGTCTTTCTATTTAAAAACAAACGTTAAAACGAACAAACAAACAGACAAACAACAATGGTTTCAAATAAACAATTCAATAAAACATTTTAGTTGAAAATATGCACAAAAGCATTTTTGCTTTAACTCCTGCCATTCCAAAGAGTGAGGGATATTACAAGGGAAACTAAAGCAAACCAATTGTGGTCTAATGGGGAGTTAAATAATAAGGGTAATCATGATACACATTAACATTTAAAAGAAATAGGAGTAACCAAAAAGAAAAAAAAGACTAATTACAGTCAAATAAGACAAATTGCACCAAAAGCAAAATGAATACGCTAGTTTAGAGAGATTTTGCTGAAATACCTAAACAGCCCTAATAATAGTAGTCAGTATTTAAATGCATATGTGCATCAACATTTTAGTCAACAATGGCAACATGAACACCAAACACACAAAAAATCGACTGTCAAGAGTTTACATACAGGTCCCACAAAACAAACTCTCTGGAACCAACCAACCAGCCAACAAACAAACAATGCAACATGGCAAATACCAATAACAAATATACAACATTTCCACAAAGTCACAAATGAATTTATTATTGCAACTAGCGTTAAAATTATGAATCAACCCAGATGCTGATGCTGTTTCTATTGCTACTGTGTGTGTTTGTTTGATTATTTGTCTGCATTTGAGTTGGCCGTGATTGCTGCCATTGTACTATTGCCAATGTTTTTGTTTTTTTTTTGCTTGTCTATTTTTTTTGCTGATTTTCGTTTTTGTTGACCAACACCATCAACATTTTGTAAAATTTTAACAAACGACAAATTTGGTTTATTTATTTAAGCCTTTGACTATCTATATGTACATAGGCCCGACCAATCATCCATCCATCTAACTAACTTTTAGACTGTCTGTCTGTCCGTCCGGCTGTCTCTCTCTGTGTCTTCATGTCTATCTAACTCAGTTGATGTTGATTTCTTTTTTATTTTGTGTTCATGCAACAAACAAATGATGCTCGGCATAGCAGTTGCCAAAAACAAACTTAAACCAAAGGGTCGAAAACAACAGCGACAGAAATCAAATCTATTGCATGTGGCGGTTGTAATGGTTTAAATGTATGTGTTATATAAACGTAGATTGAGTATTCAAAAATATACTAGGTAAACCTTGGGACAGCAGGCATGGGTCCGCATTGTCTGGATTATCGACAAGTCCATAGACTGAGTATAATTTGCACTACAGTCAGGACTAAGGACTGACTACATTCTGGACTATAGTCTGCTCTTTAGATTGACTTTACTCTGAGCTATATATTGGCTGAGTATAATCTGCACTATAAACTGACTGCACTATAGTCAAGACTAAGGACTGACTACATTCTGGACTATAGTCTGCTCCTTAGATTGACTATACTCTGGTGCATAGACTGACTATAATTTGGACTATAGTCTTGACTACGGACACCACTACAATCTGGTCTGTAAATTAACTATAGTCTGGACTATGGATTAACTATGGTTTTGACCATAGATTGACTAAAGTCTAGCCTGTACATTAACTATAGTCCGCACTATAGTTCTGATTATAGTCCGACCTATACTCAGTAAAGAGTCTAGACTATAGTCAGTCTATAGTCCAAACTATAGTCACTCTATAGTTCAGACTATAGTCAGTCTATAGTCCGGACTATAGTCAGTCTATAGTCCAGACTATAGGTAGTCTATAGTAAAGACTATAGTCAGTCTATAGTCCAGACTATAGTCTAGACTATAGTCAGTCTATAGTCCAGACAAAAGTCAGTCTATAGTCCAGAACATAGTCAGTCTATAGTCCAGTTTATAGGTAGTCTATAGTACAGACTATAGGTAGTCTATAGTACAGACTATAGTTAGTCTATAGTCCAGACTAAAGTCTAGACTATAGTCAGTCTATAGTCCAGACTAAAGTTAGTCTATAGTGCAGACTATAGTCAGTCTATAGTCCAGACTATAGTCAGTCTATAGTCAAGACTATAGTCAGACTATAGACTATAATCAAGACTATAGTCAGACTATAGACTATAATCAGACTAGAGTTCAGACTATAGTCAGTCTATAGTCCAGACTATGGTCACTATATAGTCCAGGCTATAGTTAATCTATAGTCAAGACTATAATCCAAACAATATTGAGTCTATAGTCCAGACTATAGTAAGTCTATAGTCCAGACTGTAGAAAATCTATAGTCCAGACTATAGTAAATCTATAGTCCAGACTATAGTCAGTCTATAGTCCCGACTATAGTCAGTCTATAGTCCCGACTATAGTCAGTCTATAGTCCAGACTATAGTCAGTCTATAGTCCAGACTATAGTCAGTCTATAGTCCAGACTATAGTCAGTCTATAGTCCAGACTATAGTCAGTCTATAGTCCAGACTATAGTCAGTCTATAGTCCAGAGTATAGTCAGTCTATAGTCCAGACTATAGTCAGTCTATAGTCAGTCTATAGTCCAGACTATAGTCAGTCTATAGTCAGTCTATAGTCCAGACTATAGTCAGTCTATATTCCAGACTATAGTCAGTCTATAGTCCAGACTATAGTCAGTCTATAGTCCAGACTATAGTCAGTCTATAGTCCAGACTATAGTCAGTCTATAGTCCAGACTATAGTCAGTCTATAGTCAGTCTATAGTCCAGACTATAGTCAGTCTATAGTCCAGATTATAGTCAGTCTATAGTCCAGACTATAGCCAGTCTATAGTCCGGACTATAGTCAGTCTATAGTCCAGACTATAGTCAGTCTATAGTCCAGATTATAGTCAGTCTATAGTCCAGATTATAGTCAGTCTATAGTCCAAACTATAGTCATTCTATAGTCTAGACTATAGTCGGTCTATAGTCAGAATATAGTCAGTATATAATCCAGACTATAATCAGTCTATAGTCTGTCTATAGTCCAGACTATAGTCAGTCTATAGTCCAGAATATAGTCAGTCTATAGTCCAGACTATAGTCAGTCTATAGACCAGACTATAATTCAGACTATAGTCCAAAATCTAGTAAGTCCCACTATGTACTTTGAGCTTTGATTCGACTTGAACTGCCGGGTCTGAAGACAAATCTATTTAGATTTTTTGTTTGTCTGTCTGGAGAGTTCCTATTATTTATTCTCCATAGTTTTATGTTGGTTTTTGTGTCCGTCTGTCTTCTGTTTACTAGTTTTTGTTAAATATATTTGATTTTTTTTTTGTTGTTGGGTAAATTGTTTGTACCTTGATTGTTTTGTTGTTGTTTTGTGCAATTTTTGGAGTTTCCTATAGAGAGTCATATAAATTTGTCCGATTAAAATCATAAAAATTAAACAATTGGAATAACTAAAATACATACATATACAAATGCAGATTTATTTGTTTTCAGCAAATACATTTTTAGTGATGCTAACACATTTAGATATATACTAAGTGTTGTCTAAATTTAAACAAAGTTGTTTTTGACTTTATTTGTGTATTTACATAAATTCACTAGTTTTTGAAAAAAATAATTGAATATTTTTACAAAACAAATTTTTCCAATTAAAACATATGTATTTTAAATCAGCGTAGGCATTTCTTTCCTAAGGATTTTACAATTAAATATGTGGAAAAATATATCGCTTGAGATTCTAAATGACCATTAAGTGAAGATTTTTTCTATGATTTTTATAAAGTTCGAAGTTAATACCTGAAGAACACCGTTAGTTTTTTGGTCTATATAAATAAGTTTGTTTATATTAGTGTTTTCATCGAGCGCAGTTCCAGTCGCTATATTTCCCCATTTTTGATTAACTGTTCAAAATATATGTACATATTTCATTTGATTTGGGTAATTATTTTCAAAATTATTCAAAATACATTTTCAAATCCTCTTTGCGCTGATTTTAACAACTTATTTTCCCTTTGTGTATAATAAATTATGTAATATTTTATTTACATACATATTTATTTTTTTAATTAAAAAATATTTACAAATTGGCTACATGTGTTCGTCTGTCATTGTTAAAGCCGGCCTGTTTTGCATTTTAAAATAATAACGTTATTTATTTGAATATTTGAATTATTTTCAAAACATTTGTATGGCGGCATTATATTGTTTTATAAACAAGAGCGCGCAAAAAAATAGAATTAATTTTTATGTAAAATTTTTAATACTGTTTAAATCCTTTAGGGATTTTAATAAAAATATATTTTTGCAAAATATTCGCAAAAAAAAAGAAATCGAAAACGAAAACAAACGGAATAACATAAAGTCCA